CTATTTCATTAACAAAATCCTGATAGAATGCATAAAATATCAATGAATACAGAAAAGCGAAATTGCGTATGAATTTGCACGATGGGCATTTGTAAAGCGCTAGTTTTTTGTTTTGCCATCGATTACTAATGATGTATTTGTTTATCCACTATAGCGCAACAAACAACAAGACAAAAAAGAGATCCAAAATAACCGAAGCGGAAAACCGGACCAGAGTTCACTTACATTTACATTTTATTACCATCGCTTAAATCGCTGTATGCGTGCGATTCTCATTTTCGAGAGACCGAACTTGGAGAAAAATGGAAATTCTGCCTAAAAAATTCAAAAAATACGAATTCACTCGAAAAACTGGGAATACTCTAAACATTATTTTAGCAATTCTAGAAAAAACAACTTTTTATGGAAAAAACGGCAAAAATCCACGTGAAGATTGGTGGAAAAAGAAGAAAATGTGAAATGCAGTAAAATTTATTTGATTTGTTTTGGTTTTGGTAAATTCCGTTTTGCTCCTTTTTTCGCCTTAACACTTTTCACTTTTTTCTTTACTCGCTGCTTATTTGACATTTTTGGCATATTTCTCGACATTTTTGCACCATTTTTCTAAAATTTTATTTGTTTAAACCACCTCTTTTTAAAAAAGACCAATTTATTGAAATTTCTGATTAATTCCAAATATATATATGCATATAGTGTTTTTTACTTGTAATGCTTAATGTGATCTTCGACAAAATTTGTTTGGCCCAGCAGAGCGAAACCGGCGATGGTGAACTCTTTCTTAGGAAAACTATATTTAATTGCCATCAGTAATCAAAAAAATAAAAAAATTATTCGTCTCCCATTTTTTAAAACTTTTAAATCATATAAAATTATTCAGTTAAACAAAAATAACACAATAGCAATTCTGATAGCCACGAAATCACCACCAAAACAAAAATTCTAGTTGCGTCTTCTTATGCCTCACCACATTGTCACATGGCTCATGACCAATGAGAGTAGAAGACATCAGGAAGACATTTTCTAGCCCTGATTAATGTACACCTTACATGCAAGCCGAGGGGGTTTCAAATAATCGCAATCGCCCTCCAATATCGACTACAGTAATAATTGCCAAGTCGTGTAAAGAATGGCGCCACAAGCAAGGAAGATCTAGACTAATATCTGACCGAACATCTTGGAAATGCCTCACTTTTGTAGCTAACGCAGGCAAACGGTTATGGTGAAAGCTGTTAGAGGGTTGGTTACTAGCTAAAAATTGATACAGTTTCGCACATCTATCAACTGACAATTGCACACAACTGCACAGTGCTCGCAACCTGTGAAAAACAACTAAACCAGCATGGTAATTTTGTATTTAACAAGAAAATAACAAGTAAACCACGGCTGCCACGTGGGCAATTGACGCAGAAGCGCGTAGCCTCGCCTGGGCGATCATCTCTGCACCCTCTCATTTCCCTATATCTCTCCCAGCCACCCTCTCCCTCATCCCTTCCCATCAATATTTCCATCCTCAAATTTCTCTGCTTCTCTTGAGTCTCCCAATTATTGCAATGCTCCATTCTCCAATAATAATAAAAAATTCTTTTTCATAAATAATAAAAGTATACAAAAAAATAAAAAAACATAACCTTCGCCGATTTTTTCATTTCGATTTTCTCTATATTAATTAATTTATTGACACAATTTTAAAAAAAAATATCTTTTTTCCAACAAATTTTATCCGATTTTTCACTGAAAATCGTATTTTTACAAAATTTCGGTTTTACGAACGATTAAAGTCAGAGTTTTCAACGGCGACCAAACAAACAAAAAACATTAAAGAAATGCCAAACCAAGCACGAGAAACGCCAAAAGCTTCCACAACGACGCATTAATGCGAATGCGAAATTATCACTTATATAGCTGATGGAATTACCACGCCGTACCTCTTCAAATTTTCAGCAACAACTCGTTCTCATTTTAAGTTTACTCGTGATTAAAAATAAATTTTAATATTTTTTGGCCGAAGCAAGGCATTTCTCGTGCGTGAATGTTCGTGAATGATGCTGAGGGAAGTACCACTGATATTGGATAACATCCAGTAAGAAGTATATTCCCAGTTTAAGCATTATTTCTATCGTTTTCTATTCACCATCAATTTACAGTCAAACTGATAAATGATGATTTGTTTATTGTCTATCTCTCTGGAAACAGCCTTACAACATTTTTCTTTGAATTGGTATTGTCATCTTAATTAATGAAACTTGTGATTCCCGCTAAATGTGGCTCATCTGCCAAGCAGTACACACTTTTTGAGGCGCAGTTTTTGCGAAATCAAACTGTCGCATAAAAGAATCACTGGCAAAAGCATGGGAAGTGCCTTAAACTTGCGAGTAATTCGAGCCTCGAAACACTTTGAGCAGTTCTTCAGAAGTTTTTCAAACGTTGGATTGATAAAACGAATGAGAAAACGAGCAATTGTACTGTGTGGCAAAATCGTCCAGCGGAAATAAAAAGCAGCGTTTGGGTTCACAAGTCAGAAGTCAAAAACTGCTAAGATTTTCAATAATATTCTGCGAACAATTATTCTCCTACAAAAGTAATTTCCCTATGAATGCAATGAAAACCACAAAATCTGCTAAAAGGCTCGCCAAAACGAGTCGACAAAGTGGTCTTTCCGGCACGGTCCTTCCGGCGCGACTCTCCCAGCGCGGCCCTTTCATCTATTCGCTAAACATATTTTATTTCAAACATGAATAACATGAAATATTTATGAAATGAGATGCATCGTGACTTGCTAAGATTTGAACATTAGTAGGCACATTTGGGTTCTCTATTGATGCGACGCAAAAACCTTTCCTGGTGCGACAGCGAGAAAGGGCACAGCGACTCGATGTTGTGAACCACTTCCTCGCAGAAACCCGGGAACTGCTTTCAACAAAGGCTACGCTTACTGTTTGGCGATTCGCCGCCAACAGTTCCCTAAATCTTAAAAAAATTTCATTCTGATTCTTCTCTTGGCATTTATTTTGTGCTTAGCAAATTTTTTCCATTTCACCGTTCGAATACCGAAGTTTTTGCAAAAATATTTGATATTTTTTGCAGATATTTTTCATATTAGAAAACTGCGCACTTACTCGCATTTTCATTTTGTGAAGACGTTTACAATTTGTCTATCTTTTAAAAATTCCACAAATTCGCTATAACTTACAGCCTTAGCGGCTGTCGCTGATGAAACCGCCACTAAGAGTCGGACGCAATCGCTTCTAGGAATTGCTCTCCAACCATCGCACTCCGCATTTCGGGTTCAGCTAACCCAGTCAGTAATAGTGTCTGAAATAGAGAATGAATGAATCCCAGAAGCCCACGCAACCACCACTTTTACGAGATCCCCCACGTCCACTCTTAGCTTTCGGTGTGCGAAAACGTGCTTCGCCGCGATGCAAACCTTTTGTTTGCACTTCACCCCGCGTCAAGATTGCGATGCGATGCGATGGATTTCATGAAAAAATCCCCACTTCATCAATTTTATTCACGTATTGTCATCGCAGAAAAAAATTTGCTTTTTCTTTGTTAATTCAAATTTTAAGAAAATTTGAGGGTCTTTAAATTTTTTCAAAAATAATTCGAACGTAGGAATTCCATACGAAAACCTAAACTTGACTGTTTTCATTCACCCAATCCTTGCAACCTTCTCGACTTTATTCCTTTCTCCAAATTCTTTATTTCCTTAATTTTCGAAAAACTTTTCAAATCATCTGAGGTACTCCGCAAAATACAGAAACAAAGAGTTAACGGCTAAATTCAGACAAATGTATAGAAACTCGGAAAATTTGAACATGCAATATACACCTAATTTAATTGAAGAAAGAGTACAAAATTCATCAGTATCTGAGAAACTTCACCTTCACATTATCCCAGCGGGGAATTAAAACAATAAAAATTATTCAAAATCCCTCCACCAAAACCCTCAGCCAATATTGTATCAAATTTTTGGCAAATATTTTCATCGAAAAATTTAACCATTCCTTACAACTATCTACTGTAAATTCTAATGCGAATGAAATGAATAAATTTGCGCAAAACCACACCTAACGGAGGTATTCCCAATGCATTGCCTCGTTACGACAAGTTCCCGCTGACCCTTCGCATGGGTGCATGCAGACATCGCAATCTCGTCTTGTGATGGACGGTGTCAAAGGCGGACCAATTAAGAATGACACATCCGGAGAGGTTCTGGGTGCACTTACATACGGGCTTAAATGATGAAAAGCAGCTTCTATCTTGGATATTGCCTTATATTTACAACCAATGATACCTTCCTAACCAGTAAGCACGCGCTCTAAATGAATAAATGAAAAAAAACTGAAATCATTAAACCAAAATCTGAATTATTGTACAATGCATTCCTTATGTACAAAAAAATCACTGAGATCTGATCAAAAACAATAATAATATCCAATTTTACATTTTCTTCTTTGCAGCCATTTTTTTCGGTTTATTAACTTTCGTCTTCTTCGGCGAAATAGCTTTTTTTGGTTTCGCTGGTGTTTTCTTTGGTCTTCTTGCTTTCGCTTTTTTCACCGTTGTCGTTAGTTTCGATTTTGTTTTCTATAATTTCAATAAAATTTTTAACGATTCAAGACTTTTTGAAATCCTTTTCATTCGGTCCACGTGGCGGCATCTGTTTAGCGATTTTCCAATTATATATAAATGCTTGGCGACTGTTTAGAGCAACCTTCGCATCATTTATAGCTAATGAATGCAATACGACAGTTGAACTTATATAAGCATAAAATTCTATGCATGTTTCTTCCACTACATTCCCTTCTTTATAATAATAAAACGAGCATCCCAAACAGAAGAAACTTATTAGCTTAGTAAACAAGTAAAATTTCCACAAAATAATAGAATTTTATTTTACTTTAAGCATTGCTATTATTACATTATCTTGCTATTATTCAACAACAAAAAAAAAAAACTCATAAAAATTAATGAAAAAATGGAAAAAATTAATAAAATTAAAAAAAACTAAGAAGGGGGATTCTAACCTTTGTCGTGGAACTCTTTGCCTTCATTGTCTTTTTCATCGGTGTTTTTTTCGGTTTATTCAGCGTCATTTTAACTGTCGGCTTAGCTTTACTTTCGGTTGTTTTAATCTTATTCTTTTTGGTTTCACCAGATAATTTAAATGAACCTGCTGCACCGGTACCTTTCACTTGCTTCAGTAAACCAGTAGCTACGCCACGTTTTAGCGCAATGCGCAAATGTGCATTTACCTAAATCTAATAAATTAGCACAAACTTTTTAACAAACTTGAAATTTAAGACAATTTTGGCAAAAAATTTACTAAAGCAAAGTAAATTAAATTAATCGAAATTAAAATTTATAAATAAATAAAATTACAACAAAACCAAAGAAAAAATACAGTGATCAACGAAATCTCTCAAAAAAAACATTTTGTAATAAAATAAACCATTAAACTTACAACAGCTAAATTGCCTCCAACTTTATAATTCTGAATGATATATTTGAGGATAGCGGCACGACTTGAACCCTTCGTTTCCTTCAATGCCGATATTGATGATTTAATCATATTCATGTACGGTGGATGAGAGGAGGGGACCTTAGCAGACTTAGTCTTCGCAGACCCAGCCTTCTTCATCCTTTTCGGTGACCCTGCACCTCTGACTTCCTCACCAGGAGCAACAGTTTCAGACATTTCAAACACTACGGACAATGACACTAGTGACTCCGTGGATCTGGGAAATTCTTATAAATGAGACAAGGCATGACTTCTCCGCGACTCTTCACATCAACATTTCGATTAAGAATCGTTCCAAGCTCCGCCCTTGTATAATTATTTATAATAAACAATAAAAATTGTTAAAAAATATTAAAAATTTTTTTATAAAAACAAAAAATAATTAAAGAATAAAAATTTTTCTTTCAAATGAACTAAAATTTGCTACAAATTTTATTTGTTTTCGCTGAGAAATTTACGATTATTTGAAATTTTTATAAAAATTTTTTTTTATTTTTCTTAATTTTTCTTAATTTTTTAATATTAATCATTTTTATTTTTCAAAAATTTTTTCATTTTTTGAAATAAAAAGGTTTTTTTCACTAAAAAACCAAAAATAAAGAAAAAATTCCGCGCAAAAATGCGAATTTTTTCGCGTATAAGCTGATCTTATTCAACAAATTTGTTTCGAAGCAAATTTCTCCTTTTTGTTATTTTTCCTAAAAATTTTTAGTACTTTTATAAATTTTCGAAAAATTAGAAGTTTCTTAGAATTTCCATTTTTTCATTATTTATTCCGTAAGGACCATATTTTATACCATAATTTTTACAGAAATTTTAGTAAAAAATTTTTTTGATAGGGAGAAAGAACCTTTCGTCTTTTTTGCAAAATTTATGCGCATTTTGATAAATTATTAAAATTCGTTTTTTGTAGATTTTTTTTAAAAACTTTGATTTTTTCTTATTTCCCGTTTTGTATATTTTTATTTTAAGTATTATTTTTCGAATTTATCAAAGTAATTAGCATTTAGGCAAAGCGAATAAAAACCTTCCAAAAAATTTTTTTTACATTATTATTAATAAAAATATTTAAAATATTTATTTTAAGACGAGCAAAGGAATGAAAATTAATTTAATAATGAAACTATAAGAAAGGCTTATATAAGCTTACAAAATACAAACGACGAATATCGAATTAACTTATATTAAATTTTTATTTAAAATTTTTATAAATTATTTCATTATAATTCTTAAAGCTGCTTTTATTAAACTTACTTGAATTACTTTACTTTTTGCTCATACAACTGCTTAATTATTACAGTTATTATAAGCGATTTTTTAATTTTTGAAGTAAACAATTAATTTTTTTAAAAATTTGACTATTTTAAAACAACATTTATTTGTTCCCCCAAAAAGTTAATTTTATTTAAAAAATGTAGAAAGTTGTTTAAAGTGAATTTTGTGGCATTCTCGAACGATTATTATTATTATGGTTTGAACGGTTATATTTAATAAAATTGATAAATTCCCTTAATTTCTAATTATTTTCATAATATTTACATTTTTTCATAATAAATCTTTTCGCTTAAGTGGTCTACAAGCGCTTCTCACTTTATTGAGAAATTATGAGAAAAAAAGAGAATGGTGACAAAATTACCAGATTAGTGGTGTGAAAAAATAGGGAAAATTATTATTGATGACGATAAAAACACAGATGAAATAATGAGGAAAAAAACTATACGGTCATCGGTGCTGCTCGTATAACCGCAAAGTTCGGAAATGTATTTCTCTGAGATCTTTCTATTTAAAAAGCTGGAGACATGGTCAAAGCCATGGAAGTAATATTTATTAATTTTTCAACAAAAAAACGGGATAGTGGCTCTGCTCAACGTGTTGGGCGGAATTAAAACGATTCGGCCTCTTTTTTATTCCAAGTACGTGTATAAAAAAAATGCAAGTGGTGTTGGAGACCCATCTGTACTATCTGTAATCTCACCAAATGATTCTCTGGCAAAAATTTCTGACACACCGTTATTGGTTAAGCTGGCTCCATTGGCTAGAAGGGTAAGACGTTTCCAGGCTCATTTTTGAAGTCTAGTGGTCCAATCTAGTGGTGCTATCGGGAATAGTGTAACTAGAAATAACCACTCCTTTTCCTCGCATCACTGTAGGGTTCTACTGGGTTCTACTGGGTAGAAGGTAAAGGGCCTCCAAGTCGTTCGATCCGATGCAATGCCTGAGATTAAAAGAAGTCACTTCTTTTTCCAAATATTGCTCGCGGGTTTAATACATTTTCTAACTACTGGAAATCCACCAGATTTGGTTGGATTTTATTAACCTTTGACGCCATCCATGGCATAGTCTAAAGGTAGCGAAATATGTGTCACTACCTGCGAGGAGGAGAGGATAAAAACCATGAGCTAATCAGGGATGAGCTCATGCTCTGTGACAGTTTTGAATGCAAATAGTCCTTGAGAGAAACTGAAAGTGAATGCATGTGAAATCTTATTCGCTCGGGAAACATTTAAAGTGTGCCTCAGAAATATATCGTCGAAGCAGATAACCATTTAATTAATCTAACAGGATGGTTTAATGCAGGAAATCTTGAGGATTTTGACAGTTCAGTTTAAAATCTTATTGTTTCTTAAATTTTTTGATAATTGGAAGAGGAATTTAGAGGGATCTTGTGTGTTGTCATGCGGAAATCTTGACCCGAAATCCGCAAATCATGGTCATTTGCGTAAATGCCAAAGCAGGCTTTTGCTCCGAGGAACAGAACTTGAAGTGAAGGAGACGAACAATCAGGCGATGTCCACATGACAAAGTATGGATAATCATCGTCTGACTCCGACCTCCATGAGCGCTCCGGTTCTTACTGCTACAGCCAGGATCTCGCCGCGACAGGTAGTTGTTCTTCTCCATTGACATTTTAACCAGCTTCTTTTAGCCCAGACCGTCCGGATTTTTGTCTTTTGACAGATTTGTCCAAGTCAGATGAAGAAAAAAGCGTATTTCAAAGCATAATTATTATGGGTCAAATGGGGATATAAGGAATGATAAGCCTTCTTTATTAAATAATAAAGTTATTTAGTTCAGATTTTTTAAATAAAAATTGAGAAGTGAATTTAAATTTTGTGGAAATGGCCGCTCGCTGGCAAAAAAACCTTTTTGCTAATTTGCTAAATTAGCTATAAAATTTTTCTCCTTTTTTAAAGGTTTCTTGGGAACAATTTGCATGGAACACGAATAGATTTAGTCGCTAAGAGATAACTGAATCAGTGAGATCATTTGCTAGTTTCGGAAGACCAGCGTTATATAACAAAGCAAATATGTCAACTGTCTATCAGTTGAAATTATCGTTCAGTACTGGAAATTTGCCATCGCAAGTCAAATCAAATGGAAAAGTAAGAACCGTCGATCGTTGCTAATATTCGATGTTTTGTGTAATTAATGCAACATCCGATTCTTCATTCTATCATACAATAATCGCAATAGATCACTTCATTTGCTTTTAAGCCGATTTCGAATAGCCAAGAAATTCAGCCAAGCTTTTTAGGCAGAAGGGCCAATTCAGAATTAGCGAAGAAATTACGCAAAGGATTTAAATTCCTCTTTAAAAATAAGGCGCTCGCATGGATAAAAACTTTTGTCTATGGACGATGACCAGCTGTTAAACAATGATTCATTGGATTATATCCATATTAAATCCACAGTATAGTAGCTATCGTTCCTTTTCCCCCCCCCTCCCTCCCCCCCTCTTTTTAATCACACATTATTTTTTAATCATTTTTTTATTTTTGTTCCGATAATTGCGCTGAACGATAATCTCCTTAAAGGATAATTTAGATATATTTCAGTAGGAATTTTAATGTTCCACGCGAAATTTTCTTTAGATAAATTTTGCCAGTAGAAAAAAAATTTTCTGGGGTTCTTGAATTCTGAAAGGTCTTGTAAAAAAAATTTATATGACCAATCTCGATCCCAATTTATTTCTCGGTGCTCGGTGTTGAAAAAAATTTTGGAAAATATAAGGATGGATTCACTAATAAATTTCCAGCCGAAGCTGTTTCTGACCAAAAATTAAGGAAAATTATTAAAATTAAATTATCTGAGAAATATTTCGAAATATCGAAGAATAATTCTTTCAAAAAATATTAAAATTTTTTGGACCAAATTCCGTTTGATCAATTTTAAAATTCGCCAATTTTCATTTGGCTAAAATATAAAAATTGCAAAATTATTTTACCCATTCAACTTTGAGTTTCGGTTGATTTTTAAAAGAATTCGCAAAGAATACGCGGCTATGGCAAAGAAAATAACAGTCGTGGTACCAATAGAAAATGGAGAACCTCTAGGAGCGATACCGGATGAAAAACTCGTTATCAACAGCGTGCAACCAGGAACAATCGCCGATGGAAAACTTAAGGTTTATAATATTGCATTAGGCAAAATTGATGATCCAAAATCGCTGGCGATATACAATAAATTTTTTTAAAAGATTGTTTTAAAGGTTGGCGATCAAATCCTGAAGCTAAACAATACAGATATCAAAGGCCTTAACCATTTCTTTCACTTGTTACGTTTCGCACCACCGTCCGCTGAATTATTAATTTTGCGCGACGAGAAAAAAGCTGAAGAACTTGCTGCAAAAATTAATATTCCAACGGAGCGAACTAAATATATTACTCGTCGACATGGATTTATTTATATTGTAAGGCATTATTTTTTATAAAACTGAAAGCCGAGAACAAAGTTCCTTGATTGAAATGGAGTCCAGGTGGCGTTTGTAGCTCTTCTATAATTCTGTCTCCAAGCGACTCTCTAACACGTGGCCAGTGGAATCAGCAAAACCAGAAATGGTGAGTAGCGTCAGAAAAAGAAGAAAATTTTTATTTTTTTATTTAAATAAATAGAGAAAATTGCTTTACAGTTGATTCGAATGGAATGGAAGGCTGATGGACCAAAAATTGGTTTAGGTATAAAAGATTTTCAAAATCGCGTCCTCGTTTCACGATGTGAGGCAAATTCGCTATCTGCTGGATGCCTTAAAGTCGGTGATCACATAATTGATGTCGATGGTCAGCCCGTGTCAAATAAAAAAGTTTGCCGAGATTTACTTTTAATTGCTCTTCGAGAGCGAAACTTTGTGACTTTGGTTGTGGAACGGCCGGAATCGATGGAAGCCAAATATTGGGTACAGAATGCTTTAACTGCTTCTACACTGCCATCAGTTTCCATGAGTAGTGATGTTCAAGAAATTGCAGCAAGACAACGCGAAAAAATGAAAATGAACCTTAAAGTAAGGTATTTGATCCATTCAATTTATCTTTTTGGAGATGTTGTTAAGTAAAAGTAATTAAATAAGAGTAATAAGCATTCCGAAATAAGCAATAATAATGATAAGCAATATAGGATATAAGAAGAATATTTAGAAAATTATGATAACTGATAAATTTATTCTAAAAAATCGAGAATAATTATAAAAACGATTCTAAATATGCTAAAATATAGTAAAATTCTATAATTAATAATTTTAGCCAAAGAAGAGTATACTTTCTTCAATTCTGTCAGCTCCATCAACAGTTCGGCGTGTCAAAATTGATGACACTATAAATGAATTTATCATTGTAAGTGATACGAAAGGAAAGACTTTACGCCGTGTTAAATAACTCATTAATTAGCCCATAAACATTGTAACGAATAAGGTGAAAATAAATAAATTAATTAAAAACTATTTATATTTATTTATTTAAATAAGTGCTTGCGATATTTAAAGGAATAAATTTCTATTTACTAACAGTAATAATGAAATGAATTCAGTTTGAAACAAGATTTTTAAATTAATTAAAATTGTTAAATTCACTTGGTACTTGTTGAATTATAAATCGAAAAAGAGAAAAAATATTTTTACACGAACGATTCGCATTTCGGTGGTATTCGGTGGTGCTAAATGACTCTCTGGTGATATTCAGTTATACAACGTGATAATCAGATGAGATAGCGAAAGCCAAACGAGGAATGGCGAATGCGGTTGAAATAAGCCATTTCTAGTTAGGTCGCTAGCTGTTCATAGGATCTGAATTTTTGACAAGGGCTCATTCGGTGATAGTGATAAAGCAGGCCGTTAACATCATTCATGCTACTTTTTTAAGGGCACTCACCACTACTGATTAGACTCGCTCCACCGGCTTGTCGCACTAGACAAATATTTGAAATGTTCTTACCAATTAGTAATTAATTATTTAATGAATTTGTTCTTTCTTCTTTGCTTGCCAGTAATTATTATGTGAAACGTAATTATAATTGCATCTAAGTATAAAACTTTTGCAGTATGAAACAAAGTAAAGTGAAGTAAAAATTGAAGGAGTTAATGGAGAGAAAACTGATCCAATTCGGCGTTTGTTTAATCGTTGTTAATGCGAACCATCGACAGACGAAAAAATTAAAATTTTATTACCCTGTGAATGACATAAAATTCGAAGGCAGTTTCTACATACTCTGTTGGGACCAATTAAACTGACAGCTGTTTGGCTAGAAAAAAAGCCAGCTTTGCTCATTCACGATTTCTGGTTCGGTTGCTTCTGCGCACTATTGAATGAGATCGCTTCGTTAGGTAGAAGCTGAGCTATTACCTGAATCTCTATTCCCGGAATTGCCTGAATCTCCGGCCTTTTAGTCACAGGTACACACGTCGAAGGAACTGGAATCGACTCCACTTATGGAACCCACCTATTAACCTTTCTTAATCTTAGTCGATGCAGCATTCTGTCCCTGAATAAAACTGTTAAATGACCAATTTGGTCCCTGCCGTGCTGGGCTTGCTTTTATTTGTCTTTGTATAAAAAATTGAGTACGTCAAAGCTGCTTCTTCTTCCACTAATTCGATGTTCGTATATTATAGCGAATTATATCGAAGATCCGAGGTCAGTGCTTCTGATCTCCCACACCTCTTGAGTCTATCGAAGGAGCACGCATAAGCCAGTCTCTCGCATTGGCGAAAGAACGCATCAGTCCTTATTTCGGAAGGATATGCCAGATTGTCCCCATGTCCACTGGCGATGCGCGGAAATATGATAATTGTGCTGATCTTCCTTTCGACTGTTTTATCCTCTAAGATGCGAGTCTATCGAAGGAATGCAAGCTTTTCAACTCCCTTCTTCGTGTGAATATTCTGCAAGCTGTCTGCGCGTATGTTAGATTCGACTTAGTTAGGGCATTTCGTTGCGAACTTGGCTAATTAATAAGAAAGGTAGATAGAGGCAAATCTTCACTTCGATTCCGCTTTCCTCGTTCTTTGCGTATTTTTCTTATTTGCAGTAGAATCGGGTTGAATAGACTTTTCTTTTATTTATTCGTGTTTCTTTTTATAATAAATAAACAATTTCTATGAAAGAAAATCAAATCTCAGCGAAAATTTTTTTCTGGAAAAGTACATAAATTTTTTATTTTCCAAATTGCCATTTCAATTTTTATTATTCTTTTTTATGAGCAAATTTTCTTAGTTTCTTCCTTCGCGTTATTCCCGTTTTTATTCGATTTTTGTTTTATTTTCTTATTCTCCTTTCATTTTGCTCGTCACTTATTTTACTTATTTCAAAAAGTTGAATTTATAAATCAACTAATTTTAAAAAAAAGCAGAAGATGAAATCAACAGTTGAATTTAAAGCTGTAAAATTTTCAATTTCGTTTGCGTCTCGAAACGAAAATTTTTAAAATCTGGATTTTCAAAAATTGTTTTTTAATTTGTCCTTTAAAATTGATTTGCGTACAATTCGCTGGTTCTTAATGCTCATTTATTCTTTTCAAATTTTTTGAATTATTTCGGGAGAATTTTTAAAGTTGAGTTCTTTAAAACATTTCCATAAAGTTCCACAGGTTTGAACTCACTTAAATATTTTATTTAATCCCGAATATTTGTTTATTTCTTTGCAAATTTATAAAAATTATAATTTTTGCAATTTGCATAATTTTGTGATTTTCCTTTTTTGCTTTTTTCAAAAAGAAGAAATTCATTACTAAAGTTCGGTTGTCTACACTTACTGTATTCCAATAGTAATTTATTTCCTTCAAATAAAAGATTTTATTGTTTTCGATAGCTTCATTTTCTCCTTATTTCTCATCTTTAATTTCTCTTATTTCGAATTGCGAAAATTTCTTTAAAATGTCTGTAAAAGGTTTCTGTTTTAATTAAAAGAATATATTTCTGTTTATAAAAGAATTTATTGAAGAAATCAGAAATTATTGCTCCTTAACTTCTTTGTTGTTCATTCTGTTGTATTTGTTCAATTTCAGTCATAAAAGTTTTCTATTTTATATAATTTATATTTTTCGTTTTTCGAGGATTACAAATCTAATTTTTAAAAAAGGGCTGAAAATAAAATCAAACAGTTAAATTTAAAAGTTTCAATTTCTTGCCAGTTTATTTATCAATTTATTTATTTTTTTATAAATCTTTATAAATCGTTTAAATCTTTTTTTATTCTTTTCCTTCCTTATTATGTCTTTTCAACAAAAGTTTCGAACCATTTGTAATAGCGAAACTCATTGGTGCCAAGAAAATAATGCTGTCACGCATATATCTCGAACTTTAGAAAAAATAGGGATGAAACATAAGCAAAGATCGTAAGATAATAAAAGAAAGTATTATTTTTATAATTATTATAGTAATTATAATAATAATGTAATAATAATTATTGTTATTCATATTTAAAGAAATGGTGCGAGAAAACATCAATATAAAAATATAGGGTAAAGGAAGCAAAGGAAGGCTAGAAAAGCTTGGAAACATATCTCACATAATCTCTGGCCTGCTTTGTCCATTTTACCGAAATTTACGATTCGGCGATTTAAATTTCAGTTGCAAGTGATTTTAAATAAATAATAAAACAACTGAAATTGTTTTTCTGCAGATTTATTCTGAAAAGTTTTTCTAATGAATCCCTGTCTATACCTTTAGTTTCACCCCGTCTATACCTTTAGTTTCAGTGATGCTGGCGGTTCGGTTCACTGAGAGAAATTTCTGACTGTGCTAACACGCAGGCAAATTTGCAAAATCAAAAATGAATGAGTATTAACCACTTATAGTTTTATCGTATATCTTTATATCTCATATCACTACAATATTTGACTCTACAATACTTGTTAATTAAGTCTAAAATACTTTTAGAGATATGGCAGGTGCGGTTATTGAAAGTTTGAGTAATCGAAAGCTGTGTTATATTCTTTCGATGTTATTTATTGCTTTAGTTGTGTTCTTCATGCTTGGAGCTTTTTGTTGTATGTTTTTTTTATTGCAAATATTGTCTTAAAAACATAAGATCAAATAGAAGAACACAATAGAACACAAAATAACTTCTGCCTTAGCAGGTGCATTTAATAAAATATATATATATATATATATTTGAGCTCCGAAACCATCGTCTTCTATGGAATTCATTATGGTGAAATGCAAAGATAAAGAAGGAGGTCGAAATCCAGGTAGATGGTTCTATATACGTCCACCAGTTAGTTTTATTTTTTTTTTCTAGAGAATATCTTTTCTAAAAATATTGCATTTATTAACGAAAATAAAAAATATGGCTTAAAATTGTACAAAAGAAAATGTCAGAAATTCCAAATACTTCTTTTCTTCTCAACACTGCTTAATCATTAGATTTCAGCATTGCGATTTGATTCATGATTTGGAACAATATGTTCCACATTTTGATGATATGAGGGACATAGTATTTGTTGCACAAATGCCGCATCAGCGAGATGGTATTGCTTTGGAATATTCGGCTTGGTTTCAATTCTTATTGGCTTTGCTTGAAATCGATATCGAATACAATCCTAGTTTCGATGTTGGTAAGTTTTTAACTATTAATTTAAATATTAATTTTGATTTTTTCGATACTATAATTGTCATCGAGAATCGAGGCTTGGATTCGAATTGGCTAACGCACCACTCTTCGTGGGGCGACATTGTCTCCTAACGGGGAAAAGCAAAAGGAGAGTAGAATCAGTGGGTTGTTGAATTGTTCAATTCAGAGCGCCGATACTGAAAAATTCTACTGTTGGCAAGATTAAATCTGTCCAAAAATTCGGGTGATGACTTCCCGGCAAATTTTCCTAGAAGCTATCGGAGAGTGCTCTATAAAAAGAAATTCTACAAAAAAGAAAGTGAATTCTATCATTTTTTTAGTGGAGAAAGCAGTTCTACATTTTGAAGTTCGTTTGGGTTACAGAACTCATAGTGACGGAGTTGAAGATTGGCATGAATTGATAACTGCTAATGCAACTCGAATTCTTGAATGCATTCCTCCAGAAATGGTAGTTTATTTACCTTTTTTCCATAAAATTAATGCTTAATTAAAAAATAATTTTCTTATCTATCTTTTAACTTTATTCCTCATTTAAATATAAAATTTATAAATCCAGTATTGACAAATTGTTTTCAGAAATCTGAAGGTTTTATGTACAACTGTGATGCTTTAGATCTTTTTGAGCTCGGTTCAAATCCTTATCCATTTTATTTAATTAATCTTCGAATTCCTGTCAATCAGTCGCTATGCCATATTAATCCAAATGGCCCAAACTGTGCTATTGGAAAAATTGCTGATCTGCGGATAATTGTAGGTTCAGCATGTGCCTTTTATAAATTTACTCAATTTAATTTGCTCATTTTTTTGAATTATCTTACTCTATTGCAATCTAGCGCAGTATATTGTTCTATAGGCGATCCATCAGAATGGTGGTTTTACTGCAATATGGTTATGGATGAAAACTTTTGTTTCACCTTTTGTTATTATTGCTATTCATTGGTATTGGAAACGTGTCTCTGCTTTAAACAGAAAGCCGTATCTTGTTGAGCAATCAATCATGGCTTTAGGCATTGGACTTGCCATATTGGATGGTAAATTTAAATTTTAGAGGCCTTTTTTATTTAAAATTAAAGATTGATCTCAAAATTTGCGATTTTTTTGATTTTCAGCAAATGCAGAACAATAAAAAATATTAATTGATTTGATTTATACGAATTTATACGAATTAATTACGTTAGTTCGAGTTAATTTTTTTTCATTTTATCCTTATTTTTGATTTTTTTTGTAAATCAACTTTTATTTTCCAGTTCCGATCGAATGGCTTTCGCTTTGGTTTAAAACACCTTTTATGCTTTTGATTGGAGATATCCGACAAGGACTTTTTTATACAATCCTTTTTAGTTTCTGGCTTATATTCACAGGCGAACATTTAATCGATGATAATTCGAGAAATAATTTGGTAAGTATATAAAATTCAGCTGCATGTACACTTTTCAGTTATTTTTTAAAAATGAGCACAGAAGTCATTTGCAGTTCGTTTCGCATTTTACTTTTATATTTCATTTTTGCATTTTTCCATATGTTTTTAGAAAACATATTGGCGTAATTTGACATCCGTTTTTATTGCATCTGGTTGTCTTCTTTTTTATGATATGGCAGAGCGAGGAATGCAAATTAATAATCCTTTCTTCAGTATTTGGTCCTCTGAATTAGGCTCAAAATTCGCTGTAAGTATCATTTTTTTGTACCTTATAAAATATATGGTAAATATTCATATTTTTTTTTCTTCGCCAAATTCTTCGCTTCATTGAATTTCTCTTTTGTCTTGCATTTCTAGAGATTCGTGTAGCTAAAAATAATTGTTTGTTTTTCTAAGTGAAAAATAAGCAATCATTTTGATTCAAAAAATTTAATTCAAAAAAAAAGTTTTCTTAAATATTTAGCTGATAGTTGTATATATTGCATCGTTGTGCTTATTTTGCTATTTTATTTTTCTCGTGACAAAAGTTTGGCGAGTTTGTGTGACAATTAAACGAAAACGTGCAGCTCATTTATATCGAACAAGCGAAATCCGTCGCCTCAAAGTTGTTATTTCAAATAATTCTTTTTTTAACTAGTTTTAAAGCCGTTTTTTTCGTTTAGTCATTCTTCTTTCTTTCTGATTTGGTTAACTCTATTAGTCCTGTCATAGTAATAGTAATATAAGTTCTGAGTTCTTAGAATCACCCAGATAATACAATAGAGTCGAATCACTTACTTTAAGCGACAAGAATCGGATCTTTGATTGTTTGATCTTGATCAAAGCAACATCGCATGGTCAATTTGTCATTCTTAGTCATCAATAATTATTGATTTATGACTATTACTCATATTTCCTTTTTTTTTAATATTATTGGTATTCCAATAATAAAATAAACTCTGGGAAATCTTTCATGACACAACGTCATCGGCGCTTTATAAAAGGGGTAAAGAATTAAGAGAATAAGATCATCTATGCTTCTTGAAAAGGTTAAATTATTTTTAAAAAAAGGAAAACTGGATTTCCACAATTAAAAACTGGCCATTATTTGCTTATAATTTGTGATCTGTGATTTGTTTTTCACAACCTGTTCTTTAAAATAGAAAATTATTTCAAAGTTTAATAAAATAAAAATTAAATCTGGTAAAATTTTTTTGGTAAAATTGTCAAATTATTTTTTAATATACTGCAGTTAAAAGTGGGAACTTATTTTTCTTTTAGGTCGAGGCAGTTATTTATCGATTTAAATTTTTGATGTTCTTTACTCTTACATGCGCAGCATTTACTATCATTTCATACGTTATGAAACAGGTAAATTGTATATTTCATTCCGAATTTTTATTGGATTTATACAAGAGAAAGACAGACATAAATTGTAAATAATGATTGAATGACAATAATGATAAAACTAATATTGATGCGTTAAATCGATATTTTTAAACTGTGATTTGATTTATAGCAATTATGATTTTCTAGTACGGTGAAGGCCAAATACACAGCAGTGATCCTTCGGAAAGTCTATTGATTCATTCAACTTCTGCCTTCTTCACTGGCACCTTTGGAATGTGGAATATATATGTACTTTTATTGTTGGCAATGTACGCACCTTCTCATAAAAATTATCATTCATCTTCCGGTATATTTTTTATTTTGCATATCTTTTTATTTAAAATTTTTATTCATCCATCTTATCTATTGATCTACATTAGAATTTCCTCAATTTTCGAAAAAAAACGAGGAAATCAAAAAAAAATTTGACATTTCGTTAAATGAGCTTTTTCCCTGTAACAGTGAAAGAAAAGCAAATGGTTTGAATTTTTTTATTTGCACTTAATTTTTCTTAGTTTTATTTTTTAAAATGATTTTAGTATCTTCAGTTTTTGCTATCTTTTCTATATTTTTCTTGGGCTTCATCACATTTAAGATATTTCTTCATAGTTCATGTTTATGGAAGAATGATTGGACTCTTTTAAAGATTACTTTTTATTTTTCTATAGTTTCTTTCTTCATTTGCTGTGTGAAATTATCGAAATTTTTCAGTTCTTGTCGATGAGGTTGATGATTCAGATTTTATGGCAACAGAGTCAGCTGCGCTTACCACTTTTATAAAACCGGCTTCTGAATAAATTTGCTTCTAACGTCTAAATGTTATAAATATTTATTTATATGTTCTCTTTTAATTGTAATAAAATTTCTTTAGATGTAAGAGTTATTACGTCATATTACTGTAAATTTGTCTTTCTTGTTTTTTAAAAAAACTTTCAGAATTTCCTAAAAACCATTTCATTTCCATTATCTGAAGTACTTAATCGTTTGTGCGTTTAAGATGATTGGAAATTGGTTGAGATGCCTGCTTTATCTTTTGCGCTTTTATTTTTTTATCGTTTTAATATTTTTGTTATATTTAAGCATAAGTTTTTTGTATGTTTTGTATGTTTTATTATTCAAACACTTTTATATATATTAAATATTAAATATTGAATATTAAATATTCAAATATTAAAAATGATTGAGGATTGAAGAAAAGAATTCGCTTTATATTTATTCTTTTCTTTGGAATTTTCCATGGAATTTTTTCTTTTTTTTTGTTAATTAGCCAGGATGCTTTGTAGGCAGAATGATAGTTCATTTTTTATCCTAGCTCATTGATTATAAGCTTAAAATAAAAAGCTTCGTTTAATCGCCGTATTCTTAATTTTATCTGCTAAATCTTCTTGTCCGTGCAGTTTGTTCGCTAAGAATTAAAAACCCAAAAATTTAAATTGAAATCAAAAAGGTGCAAAAAAATGAATATTTTTGAAGACATTTTTTCAAAATAAAAAAAGTAAATTAGTGGAAAATACAATATTGTGCCTTTCGTTCCCTAAGGTTTTCGCTAGCTTTGAAAATTTTTATTTGAAATTTTTTGTTTTTAAGGTGAATGTTATTGTTGATAACTGATGAATATTTTTAAAGCTTAATGGCTGAGTAGTGAGTTCGTGAAATTGATATTTGAACTATTTATCATCACATGAAAATCATTTTCTTTTAATAGGTACAGAATAATCGAGTGTTTGGGTTGGGCGAAGTGCTTCGATTTGCACTGAGAGAGGGGGATACCTTCGCGTTCAATAAATGCAACCATAAGGTGGTGCTGAGCACCTCTTCAATCCTAAAATAAATCCATGGAGAAGAGAAGGGTCAGCAAATGATTAATTTTTTAATTCGATAAAATTCTTGGTAAATTTATGTAAAGAAATTAGGAATTAACTGCCGATAACTTAATTTTTTAATTTTAATTTTATGCAGGATATTATACTGATAATTTTGTACAGAAAACGAAAAGAGAATTAATGCCATGTTTATTTAAGACGATGATAGCATAAGTGAAGGGATTCCTTCTCTGTTATCAAAGTTTTTGAGACATTTTTATCAGAAATTTTCATTTTCTACCTGAATATTTTTATATTTTTCCTTCTACATTATTATATATTAATTACTTCTCGTACTGTTTCATTATTATATTTATTTATTAATCATTCATGGATTGAAGGATGGAATTCATGGAAGAGAAATGATAAACAAGAAATTTATTTAAGAAAATCCACCAGTTTATTCAGACTGGTTTTTGCCTCTCACTTTATTTTACCAATTTTCGATCATAAATAAATTATTCTTATCATGAAAATTTTTCATTTTTTAAATAACCTTCCTCGTTGAAAATATAATCGTTTTAAAAATTTTTGTCTCGTATAATTATGGATTCTAATTTATACGCCTTTTCTTCTTAACGGCACTCGCCGTGTCCGGTTTAGTCAGCTTCGCTAACTAATACATAAGTACCAATATGATCTTTAGTGCCATCTGCTTCGACTTGATGACAAGTTCCATCAGTGGATAAAAATCGACTCATCATGCTTGAAATATAGTCAAAGCAGTTATCATCATTCCTTCTTTATTTATCCACCAATAGTTGCTGAGTGTTCAGCCAAATCGCTAGCTCGATTCGATATTTTCACATTGTAATTTTTTATCAATTATACAAGAAAGAAGTACGGCTTGGCGCTTTTAGTTAAACTGCCAGTTTTGGTGCTGGTGATCCATTTATGTTTCCCAACCCTCGTGTGGCTCTTTCGTCTCAATCAATGAGACAAAGCTAATAAGATATGATAAATGCTGCAGCATATATTTCCAATATGTCAATAAAGTCGAAAAATTCGAATCGAATTTTTTGGTTTTTTATATTCGGCAAAAATCAGTGGTATTTGAATTTTAGATGATTTAAAAGCGAAAAAAGTAGTCTTTTAGGTTTCATCAGAAATAAGGTTGAAAATTATTAGAAAAAAATAATCATATCTCTTGAATATCATCGAATCAATTTTCATAATATAAAATTCTTATGAAATCCTTTTTTGAATCCAACGAAAAATGAAAAATGAGTGGGCGCAACCAGTTATTTCATCTCATTTTAGAATTATCGCAAAACATTTGATTTTGGACGAACTAATGAAAACTGGTTTTTTCGATGATGGTAATGAAATTTAGGCGTAAAATGGCGAGAACAACTGGGAGGAAATATTCGTTGTTTTTTTGTGGTGCACGACGCTTCGTCGTTTCGCATTTTTCACATTTTCTTATCGCTCGTAGTTTAATTTATTATTCGGATTTTTTAAGTTTAAGTTATAAACTATTTATAAACTATTAAAATTAATTTCTTGTCATTTGGTGAGAGTAGACCCGTCAGCAAAAATGAAATGGTACTGGAGTGGGGGTCAACTCCTTATGAGCCAGGACCTCGGGAATCGGATGTATTAATTAAATTGGTTGAGTGCTCAGTCGGCTAATCAAGCGATATTTTTGGTAAGCGCTTATCAAAGGCATTGACCCATATCCTCTATCTGCTAAGCCTATAATGGAATGATATGAAAGAGAATACATTGGCGGCGCAATTCTATGTGGGTTTAGATAGTGAAAAAAAGTGGATTCTTTATTCATCGGATTGAGTAGCTTGGAAATGCTTCAGCCTTAGTCAGCAATAACAATGCTGCTTTTAATGTCCTCACAAAATATTTTAAAACACTGGAAAGCTATTAATTGAACATCGAATGAGGATTAGTCTCATCTGATCGTTTCGGTGTCACCTATGCATAAAATAGTGATTCCTAGTTAAATTGATATAGTCCTAAAACTGGTTTTCATTGTATCTTTCTTCTATTTTCGAATATTTATTCCAGCTTAAATTTTATATCATTCATTATTTGTTATGAGACAGCTGGTGACCAGAGTGATGGTGATGGGTGACTTTCAAAGAATCCAAAAGTTAACGTTAAGATTTTCATGGAATTGTTTCGCATGAAAAATCACCTTGAAGAAGCGAAATTTTGTGATATTATTTTATAGAAAAATTAATAGTGGCATTGTTGGCAAATATCATTCATTCCACAGTTATTTTGCTGGAAATTTCCTTTATTAAACGATAATTTTAAGACTTTACGAGAATATAAATTTTTGGTCGGCAATTTTCTATTTCTCTTAGTTCTCAACTGAAATTCATTGTTTTCCACAGATCGGCGATTCATTCTCTGAAAAATTTGCAAAAATCAAAAGATTTTTTGAAATTTACATAGAAAAGAATGGTAAAAAACAATTCTTTAGAATTATTGTAATTTTCGAAAGTTTTTTTTCCAGATTTTTTTAGAATAATTTTTTGAATACCTTTCATTTGCTTTTCATATTTGTGCAATAAAATATTTGAAATAAAATAAAATGAAATATTATTACTGGAAATTTTAAAGATTTTGCACTGATTATTTGTAATGTTTAATGACAATGCAAACTCTTTCCCCAATCTTTAGTCATTTTTCAATAGTTTTCTATATTTTCTACAGTGATAAGTTTTCAATAGAAAAATTCACTGATCGAACATTGTTTTTAGTTTTTATTTCTCTAAATTCTAAAATATTTCAATAAGTTCATTGGACTTCTTTTGTTAGCTAACGTTCCGAATGTTGGTGAACATACGTGGCGATTCGGTGTCCGAACGGTTCTCTTGCAAAATTGTCTCACACTACTAATAGCCAATTGAGGGCGACTAATTAGAAGTGTAGAAAAGCCATTGCTTTTTTTATTTGCTGTTCTTGTGCATAAAAATAAAAATTTTAAAGGATTTTTATATTTCTTACTTTCATTATGGAATAAATAGAAAAAACTCAATTTTTACTAAACTTATGCTCGAATAAATAAATAAACCTCACGAATCACTGAATTTAAAATTAGGGCGAAATAAGCGAGTAGGGATGTCGTTTCAATATTTATATAACAGCGAATAATAATCGACAAAGAATTTAAATTTAAATTCTTCGCTGGTGATTTAATGATTTTTCTGTAATAATGGTGGTATCAAGCAGTGCTGGGAACTCACTTATAACTAACTCTGCATAACTTACTGGTTAGGAGGTGTCGCCAAAGCTTCTAGGAGTCGGTCCTCTTCCACTCTTGTTAGGTCCCATTTGTGGGGCTTTGCATCTCCCTAAACCATCACAGCATTTTTTTGCTTTATTCTCCCTTACATCGTTAGCGCCCCGAAGGCTCTTCTTACTGCACTGACTCGCACGAAGCTTTTCTCTTCATTAATTATAAATCGATCCTTAATTGGATCTTAATAAGATAAATGGCCAATTTGAATTTCCATTTTTGCGACTGCAAGAGGAGCGTTCCTTTCGCCCCTTCGTTACACTTTGGCATGTGCGCTGGTCGGATTCGAACCCGTCGGGTACTCCAGTGGCAATTTTTGGGATGAGTCAAAATTAGTTCTAATGGATTGCCAGATAGCGAATGAGCAAAGGAATTCGAATATAAGTTATAACGAAATGTAACCTATAAGAAGAAAAGACTTCGTGCTGGTAACCAATGCAATAAGAAAACCTATCGATAGCTTGTAAAATAAGAACAAAACAAAAAATGTTAAGACGACTCAATGCAACTCAGTGAGGGAACGAGGAGTGGAAGCCGACCAGAAAAACAACTTGCCCTTTGGCGGCGGAAAGTGTATACTGATTATCACTGGAAGCAGCCGAACCAAGAGTGAGAATGGAAGAATAGAATTTTGTTTATGTTTTTACTATTTTATTTAAAAAAATCCTTTTAAATTGATTGGTTGGATAATCCATTGAACCATACAAAAAATTTCCTATTTTTTCAAATTAAATTTAGATTCTTTTGAACAGCTCAAACTAAAAAAAGATTTTTGTAGTTTTCATAATATAGGTAATTGAATTAAGTGAGTTTTAATTATTGAAAACGGGAATACTTAAAAAGCTATCAGAGACATCTCTCTATATCCTAACGGTTCTTGTTAACTGGTAATAACCAGTGGTTCCACTGGCTGAAAGTATGGATTTTCGCGAATGAGTCATTTAGAGACTGAAGTACCAGGTTTTTTTAATGGCAGGTCCACCACTATCGTTTATTCCAGAAAACAGGACCCGAACCTTGATGGTTGGGACAGTTAGCAATAACTACTCGGTTATGCTTTTTTCTTCAGTGACTCTCAATTTATAGATTAATAATTTACTTTATTTATTCTACAGGTTTGAAATTTTTTTGAAATTTTTTTTAATTTTTGCAATTTTTAATTTTCTTTTAAAAAAATGAGGAAATTTTCTGATATCATCGAAGGCATAACCACGTTATATCCGATATATACAATAAAGATTCTCTCTTATCTTGTGACCCACTTCCGTCAATTTAATCGCTCGAAAATTCCAAATGGTGCTAGTGCTACCTGTACCTCTTTGCTCTTTCTTATTGTGGAATCGATAATTATTGCTTAGTTTAATTTATGAGAAATATAATAAATAAAACCTACAATTGGCCCATCAAATGGTCATTGTTTATTCTATTTTGTTGATCAAACCGATCGAATAGCCACAACCAGTTTCAAAAATGCATTGTTGGTAAAGATATCAGTGAGTTGATAGATGGTGTCGTTCACCTTAAATGCGATTTTTACCATTGCTTGTCCATTTTTTGCTTATTTGTCGTTAAATGGTCATGAATAAGCGTTTTAACGATTTCTTTTTCCCTTGAGTGTCCATCTGTATGCGAAAAAACCCTACCTGATTTACAGATATTTATAGTTATAGAATTTCATTATAAAAATGGTCAAATGGTGAAACTTTAATGAATGAGTTCGCAATTCTTTAATTTTGATTGCTAATATGCAATAAAATTAAAAAACTGCGATATAATTTGGAAATAACTAGACGAAAGAAAATTATATGATTCTAATATAATGTATGAAACGCATTGGTCGCACTGTGCTTCGGAATGCCGACAATGTAACGAGGGTTCAATGTCTTCCATGTCAGGAGTAAAGCAATCATTAAAAGCAAGATCCAATAAATGGAACTTCCCTATAATCTATCTTCAAGTGATTCTTTAGAAAAGAGGTCTCATCAAATATCAAATGACTAATAGTTAGTGGAATCAGAAGCAGTGCGAGAATTTGATCGACTAAATCGTGAAAAGCATATCCATTTACCATAGGTTAAAGGATTTGGCGAATGGTGGAGTATTTGATTTATTTGCACCATCTGGAAACTTTTGTGAAAATTCAAATATTCTTCAAACTGAGTTCAAATTTAATTTCTCAGATGTTCAACAAAATCTGAGCTTTTCATTCGTCACCTCAAATTGTCTCGTTGAAATCGTATCTAAAGATATCGTATCTAAATCGTATTAAATAGGGTGAAACTTCTTGATTTCTGTTGATTGCAAATTTTACTTAATGTTCAGCCTTATAGGTGATATTTGACAGCCGTTTTAATATTTGGTGAATAAATTTATGATATTTCGCTCATTTCGAAATCAAATAAAATATCATATCTTCATTACTGCATCGAGCGATTTGAAAAACCTCGTTTAACGGAGTCAGCCTAATCAGTAATGGTGTTCACTGTATAAAAAAGTTTTAAAAAACTATATATAAATAGAAATAAAATAGGAATAAAATTTCTAAAATATCTTTGATAAAAATCGAAATTTATGAAATAATTAAGAATTTAAGCCAATGCCATTCATTGATTTTGATGCATTTGCTAATTTGCAAGCAAATATAATGTCTCCTCGTCATTTTCTATTTTTGCAAATAACAATAATGATTATTTTTTTCTGCAGCCTTCATCGCTTTTTAGTTTAGATTGTTCTATTAGCTACTAGGATTTATAAATGGATGTTAGATTAAGGCGCTTTAGCCAGAAAATTTTTATAAATATTAGGCTAAGAACTTTGGCCAAAGAGTCACTTTGACAACTAATCATTGAATTCATCAAACAGATTCTTCACCTTTTATTTTTTTCATGCTGTTTTATTGTTTTTTTACGAGTAATTTTATTTTTAATTATTGTTATTATTTTTCTTCTTTTAAAAACACATCACTTCTCGTCTGGCTGGTTTTAATTGCCGCCGTGATAAGGATCATTTGCTGGAGAGTGAATATGAGTTATTCCTAAATTTTCATTACATCTTGGATTTCTCTTTTAATGATAGGATTTATTCCTGTCAAACGATAAGGGTCGAAGCCATAATATTTGAACTTGAATCGAATCAATACATCAGTGTTAACTATCGTTACTAATAATATTAAACCTATTACTCAGTGAACTTTGTATCAGGCAAATGCTTTCACTACCATTCGGGTTTCACGTTTTTTAGCAAATGTACAAATAGAAAATGAAATGATTTATTTTTAAAAATTACTAATCATTTTCTTGATAGTTTAAAGCCAAAGTTTAGAATCAACTTTTCTTTTCAAGTCACCTTCATTTTCTGTTTGTACAGTTGCTTTGTGCAATATTCGTTGAATGATACGTTTAAAATTATTAGTAAATATTGTGAACTTTAGAAATGCTTTTTCACATCGATAGAAAGAAAACAAGATTTTATAGTTACTTCGTCACTTTTATTTTAAAATATTTTAGAGAAGATTATTCAAAACTGTGCACATATTTATTCGTTTTATTCTTTAAAACATGGTTTACTTTTTTTAACTTTTAGCTCGTTTTAAGTGTCAAAGATGTTCTACCATAATTCGTTTCTTCAACATTTTATTTTGGATTTATTGAGTCCAACACCATGGATATATTTCGAAACTCATTCTTCTGTTTCTATATTTCATATTTATTAATACTTAATGTGTCACATCGAATGAAAATTCGTTTTCGTTTTAGTGAATAGCAATGCGGTACAAAATGCACGAAGGCTAATTGCAAACTTTTTCCAAATGTTTAATTTATTTTTAGCCAAAATATTTTAATTGATTTAATTGGTTATTTGATCATTTAATTTCAAAAATACGCGTTATTTTTACTATTAATCTTGTCTGTTTTATTTTTTTAAATAATTCATTTTCAACCTCTTATTTTACTGCAATTTAAAATTTCGTCAAATGGGGAATTTCTCTTTTGTTGACTATTTTATAGTCAATAGTCAATCATCGCCATTATCCAACAGCATTCATTATTTCTGGTTCAGCTGGTTCAAAAATTAGATTCCATTGCCAGTAAGTTATTCACTCGAAGGTAGAAATGAAGGTGGGCTTTAGTACCATTCGCGCTCCTAGCAGATTCATTCCTGTCAAGAGACATGATTTAAACCTATGATGGTTGGTCGATACAACATCCAACAATCTTTGATGCATCTTTCAGATAATGAAAATTGCCTAATAGCTGCAATAAATAAAAGTTGATGATAGAAAGTAAAAAAAAATGATGGTAATCGACACTATTTTTAAATTAATTACTGATAGTTTACTAAACTGCACTGATCATGCCGATGCTTCTAATATTCATGAAGTGCCAAGCGCCTATGTCTATTTGTCAAGTAAGTTTATTTTATTTAAGGTAAACGAGCCTTCTAATTTTCAACTATTTTATTTAAGTTTGCTGCCTCTTCTACCATAACACTATAAGTTTCACTTGGCTTACTGCACCATTAATTGCGAAACTGTGGCATTAAAAATGAAAATATTCGAAATCCGAAAGAAAAAGCGAAAAAATTAATTAATTGATAGTTAATGCGAAATATTTTTCAATTTTTAATATATCTATTTTTTGGTGTAAGAAAAAATATTTGAGAACATTCGAGAAGAACGCTAAGAACAGTCGCTATTTCTTGCTAGGCTTTCTTATGTGTTAATTAACATTAATTCTGACTGGTAGCACAGTGAGATAATAATTTTGCACGAGGTCATCTAAGGACAGAAATACCGATGGATTCTCATGAAATCTATTATTATATCGAAAAGTTTGGCAAATTTCAGAAATCGATTTGACATTTATGTCAACATTAATATTGGCAACATTAATAAGTATAACAACAGTTTTATTAAGCGTAATTCATATAATATATATATTATTTTATGTAACAGAACGATATCGGAGAGCATTTATTCTTTATCTTGCTGGCACGTCACCTGTTAGTATTTTGCGTTCATTCTTTTCTGCTTTTTTTAGGAACAATTTATTCAGAAGAAAATAAGTTCAAACAAACCGAAACAACGCGAATTTTCCGCATTAACTGGGAAAATTTAGAGTTGAAGAATTTTCTCATTCCTGGGAATTTAAGAATAAACAAGAAAATTGGATGGTTAGAGGATGATTCAAGAAAATATGATAACAATTTATTTATTTATGTATTTACAGTTTGTGTCAATATTTGCGATAATATCGATGTATATGCCGAGAATATGGTTTCTTGCACATCTTCTTGGATTTTTGTATGTTTTATTTACAAATTTTCGCTTAGCTTTTTTTGTTTCAGCCTTTTTTGTTTTGGATTTTTATTAAAAATTCTTCTTTTAATTTTTTACATTTTGTTGATTCAATTTTTATAAAGAAGGTAAAACTTTGCAGATATTTTTCAATAGCTTTATGGATAATAATTCGTTTATTAACGAATATCTTCGAAGGGCGTCAAAAAATGATTAAAAAAATGAAAATCGAATGTTCAAAAATCACCGTACAAACACCGCCATTTTGTTGTGTATTTCCTTGCCTTCCGAAATTGGAATTAGAGACGTATTCTTTTTACGTTGTAAAAAATTTAAAATTTATAATTTGTTTTCCCAAATATTTTTGCTGATAAAAACTGATAAAAACCTGGGAAAGATATTTCGAAATTACCAATTATTTCTTTTCTGCAAGTATGTAACAAATAAATAAGTTAGTTCAGATCAGTTCAGATGAGAGAGTTTGCCAGAGTTTTACTTGAAAGTATAAGTGTGGATAGAGATTTTTCAACACCATATTTGCTTTTGTGGGTAATAAAAGCTAATGATGCTCGGATGATTAAAACAAACGATTCGGTTTTTCTTTGATAATTTCAAAGATAATTGTGAAGATAATTGTATTGCAGGGGTAGAATTCGTTTTTGTGAACTAATGGTCTTTCAAGCACCATGTATTCGACTTATTTGCACAATTTTTAGTTTAATTTTATTTTTTGAATATCATAATGGAGCTATTGTGTTAGTTTCCGCTTATTATTATTATTGTTATTACTATTATTATTACTATTATTATTATCATTATTAATATATTATTATTAAACTATTATTATTTTATTATTATTACTGTTATTATTATAGTTAGTTGGTATTTAAATAATTTTTATTTTATTTTTTGATAATGGCAGAATCTTTTTCCTATTCAAGAAATACCTTTTTTGACATATTTACAGTGCATTAAAAGTGCTCGATTTCATATCTTTGCCATCTTTATTAATTGGTATCTATGGAACTCATATCTTGGCAACTGCAGTATCCAAAATGGTTAGTCTCTTTATCTATAGTCCAGGTATTCGACTTTTTATTTAGAATTCTTATTGAACCTTCTTAATCCATTAAGCTATTCGATATAAAAAAAAAGCTTGAAAGATATTTTTTTCAGTTCAGTTCACTTTTTCAAGAGAACATGCAAATAAGTGGTTAGCGTTCCATTTCTGGCTAGATTAGCTACACTGGCTTTTAGTTTTAATTAGTTATTTTTGTCATTTTGTTATTGATAATTTGAAAATGAGTCGCTTGCACCACCCGGATTTCTTCTCTGGGGACAGAATTCTCCGAACCCTTTCCCCTTTACAACTAATAATATTTAATAACATGAATTATTAAAGAATTATCTAATAATAACATGAATTATTACTATATTATTATTATCGTGAATTATTAATATATTATGAAGAATATTTTCATTCCCATTCATTCTCGCAAGATCAAATCGTTTTAATTTTTTAAGGTTTTTAATTTAAGTCAATTTAAAAAAATTTAAAATTTTTCACTCCCATTTAGAAACGAAAATTTTCAGGATGAATTAATGCCATATCGATATATAGTTGTTTTTCGGTTACTTGATTTCTATTTCATGTTTTTCGGTATTCAACAACCGATTTTCGATTTTCTTGCGCGAGCAGGAATTTTTGGTTGTGGCACTGTGTTGCCACCACTGGAAACTGCTTTCTGTATGTATTATTTTTTAATCTTACTTTGTCAGCTTCATAAATTAAAAATTATTCAACCAATTTCATCCTCCAGATCCGAATGTTGAGCCATGTTAAGATGCTCATACCTATGGCTACAGTCCAATTCATTTTCAGTGCAAATATCCAGTGCAATATAAAAAATTTAATGTTACGCTTTACTGAAAAAAAACTATTTAAGAATATTTATTTATATCGGAATTTTATCATTTCTTCTTAATATTAATATTATTATTATTAATATTTTTGCCATAAAAAACAAATATCTAAGAATATGTATAAAAAATTTAAAAATTCAACAATTTCAGCAGAAATTTATACGATAAATTTATAAAAGTTTTATTAATAAAAGTGCATTTCAGTTTGGAAAAACTTTTTAATCGTATTTGAATCGTTTTTTGTTTCATTAATTTCAACAATGCTTTTAAAGCCATCTCGAAGTGCTTTATTCGATAAATACCCATCATGTCGAAGTTCATCATCGTTAGCCACAAAAGAAAGTTCTACTTAATGAAAAATATTAGATTATTATTTATTTTATATTATTTGGTAGAAATAATCGACGATTTCATTCATACCAAATTATTGTTTTCGATTCATTTTATGTGATATATGTGAAGAAGTTTTTATTTTTTATTTAGATTTTTGTTTGTACTGCTTGTTATTTACCATATTCTAATCTCATTTTCTGTTCTTTTTCTAAAACCTCTGTTCATAATTTCATGAAAAATTCGAATTTCTGGATCATTTGTAATTATCAGAATGTGTGCAGTTGGAAAATTTTTGATTGGTTGTTAAGGATGAGTTTATGAACGAAGGATATGAGATTCTCTACGTGAAAACTACTTAATTAATAAATAGCTTTCTAAATTTTTGGTAACAACGAAATGAATAGAAGGCATAATCGAAATAGAGGGTAATTTTTGGTAACAACGAAATGAATAGAAGGCATAATCGAAATAGAGGGTAAGCAGAAAAAATTTCAGTTTCTTCTAACAGCAATGAATGATGACTGCATTTCGCCACTTATTTTATAAAAATACATACAAATTGGGATATAGAGGAACAAACCCCCAGCAGAACTTTATTTTTGGTCAATTTTACTTCAAGTTTGTTGTCCTCTGTTATCAAATAGGAATGGAACCTGGTTTTAGTTAAAACAAAGTACCACCCAATCTGTTGATTTAAACAACTGATATTATTTTTTCAAGCGAGATATCCCGAAATATTTGCATTATTACACCGGTTAAAAAAAATAAAAAATATTAAATTTACATCAATTTTCGCTTTTATTGAAATTTACAGTACAGATGTGGTGGTACTTATTTCTTAATTCAATTTTACACAAATACTTTGGGGGTGATACAGTTAGACCAATTAATCGTTTAGTGGACAATAGAGGAAATAACGGTGATGGCTTTAAATTGAAATTACGCAAAATATTTGCAAATATAAGAAATAATTCAGATTTGGCCAGCGATTCACCAACACATTGACGCTTTCCTAATGAAAATGGTATGAATTCATCGAACCTGAAATTTCTTTACTGACAATTTATCTGCCTTCTTAATACAATTTAATCCAATTTTATTTTTTAATCTTTTTAATTTTGGTTTATTTTTTTAGTCCAACAGCCTTAATTACTAATTAATTTTATTTATTCATAAAAGTTTGGTCAATTCAACAGTGATTTTCGATGGGCCACTCATTGCTTTCTTAACTTCTTTTAACTTCTTTTAAATAATTCAGAAGCTAAAGCTTTTAAAATTCATATTGAAAACATTGAAAAAATAACTTTTTAATAGTTTTTCCATCATCACATAAAAATCTTTCTGGTCGAAATTCTTTTGGATTATCAAAGTTCGAGGGATCGTTCAAAACAACAGATATTTGTGGGATACAAAGTGTATTTTTTGGTATAAAATATCCGTCAATGGATATATCATCAGCCACCGTTCGTGGGAGATTGAATGGCAAAATATTTGCCAACCTTTGAATTTCCTGTCAAATTGGATTGTTACAAAGTCACATCGCTTATTAAAAGTAATATTATTTTGGCTATTATTTTCGTATGGAAATTAAAACGCTTAGAAAAACAAAAAGTGCTATTCTGTTATGCAGGTACTATTTTCATTCACAAAAATGGACAAAAAGCCCACAAGAATAATTTACAAAGAGATATTTTTCTTATTCTAGTAGTAATGGCCATTCTTGATTTGACTGGATCTACTTACGATTAAGGGTGCGACACTGTCGCCTAACGGAGAAAAACAAAGGAAAATAGAATAACTTAGTGGGCTGTTGTTCAGTTCGGAACGCCGATGCTTCGCTAATATTTTAGCAGGAGCAAACTTGTCCTAAAATCCGAGTGCTGGCTATTCACCCATATAATTCTATAGCCAAAGAAGATAATTGCAAATTATGCACTCTCTGCAATATTTGTCTAGTGCATAAGTCAGAGTCTAACCGGTATGCTTTTAAAAGAAACTGAGGACGAGATCCTTTTGCCAAAGAATTACTCAAGAAGATGATTGCAAATTATGTGCTATTCGTATTTTCGTACTTCTCTTTTAAGTAGGTCTCATCAAGTTACAGCCATGGAATTTATGGTAAGTTAAAAAATAATGCCAAATAAAACTAACATTAATTGTTGCACATGTATATGGACAGGAATTTTTGTGCGACAATGTAATCTTAGAGGGAAATTGATCAAGTTCCTCTTGTATTTTATCTTGTACTCGTAGATTTAACATGACGTATAAAAAGCCCCATTTTAATGTTGTTGCAGTAGTTTCCATTCCAGCAAATAACAAATCTAATACTACCATTCGTAATTGTAATTCACTGAAAATCGCCGGATTCGTAGCACTTATCGAGAAAATTTATCAGACAAACTCAAATCTTATCAGACAAACTCACTAATCATGATTCCGTTCAAAAAAAAATTAAAAAATTGCCTTTGTTTTTTGCCGCATAATCGCTTTTTCAAAAGAATGCGCTGGGAATGAAATATCTTTCAGCAAATTTAAGATTATCAAAATGCTTTGAATATTTTCTTTTAAATTTTAATTTTTCATTGTAATTATTGGTAAAATTGTCCATTCAATTTAAAGTGGCTTTAGTGAATTGGATAGAGAATTTTTTTACTCGTAATTTCTTACTGTAATTAAAATTTTTTTGAAAATTAGTTTAAATAGACTTAATGATTCGCTTTTCATCTAATATATATATGGAAATGACTAAAAATTAATTTTGAAAATGAAAATGATATGTTTGCTCTGCTTATTTTGTGAATAAACATCTGATAAAATTTTTGGAGAGAACAAACTGAAAATATCCTGGATCTCCCCGAATTTTCCTTTTATGCATTTCCTTTAAATATGAATATACAAAATCTGTCGGTTTATTATTCGGATCGAATCTCTTCTTGTGATCCTTAAATATTTATTATTATTTTAGATGAAAGAACGAAACTATAGCTTTATTGAATTCTTCGTATATTCCTTTGAACTTAAAAATTATAGAAAATTAAAAAATTGCGATAATTTAAGAATTTATACGTTAAGAATTAAAAACACATTTATAAAATCAACATTTTTTGAAACATTTTTATAGTTTATCCTATTATCACAAATATTTTGATTTTTTATTCTTCATTTATCAAAAATTCCAGAATTGCATTCCAGAATGTTAGAATTTTTATGAAAATTGCCTAGTTTCTTCCAAGTTATTTCGAAATTATCTCTATTTTCTACTGTTTTTAAAATTTGAAAGTTATATGGACTCGAAGCAGATCGATGCAAAGAAAATCTCATAGGGGAGAAATGAAGTCTATTTATAATTCTATATATTCTACTTATAATTCTAAATCTATAAAAGATTCAGGCAATTTTATTTTGCATTATTGCTTCTATTCAATATCAGTAAGAAGATTTTTAATTTTTACAAAAATCTAATAATTATACCTGAACTTCATTATATATATAGCGCCAAATATCATCTCTTAATTCCATCAATTCTTTCCATTTTTTATTTATTACTGGAATTTTTGTCATGTATGGCGCTGTTATATATAGAGACATAATCGGATGAACAACGAGTTGGAATTGCCGATCTATTGCTGCGTGCATTTTGTGGAAGATTTGGTCTTCCTTAAAATATTATAAACTATAATAGTATTTGTACTCTTAAGCGATCGTTACTGAATGATGTTATTGATATATTTTAACAAGTCTCGTAAAAAACTTGTGGATATATAAAACTTCTGCGAATGCTGAAAATGTCAGTGTTTTATATAAAGTTTTCAGTTATATGAGGTCATAACTGATCTCACTCATTGATTTAGAAAATATGATCAAAGAATTAATGCTCTAAAGGTTAATAGAGATTCGAAATCAAGTTTTGAAAGTCTGATTATAAGGAATGGGATGGCAAATTACCGATCTTACCGATCACCAATGTTCTGCTAATATTCCCCATTCTAACACGGACAGCCATGTCTTTTCCTGGATGAAAGGCATCTACAGATATCTTAAAAAGAAGGAAAAAAACCATGTTTGACTGGTATAACATACCGAAGATGGCGACAGACGGAGAAACTCTGTTTTTGATAAGCAGTTTGTGAAAGATATAAATCTACAACAAGATTTGATTTAAGCTATTAAAAATTGTTAAAGACGTTTAGAGGTAGAATGGCTCAGTGGGTTATTGCTCAATTCACAGCGCTGATGCTGAGGCTCTACAGGAGTAAACCTATTCAAAAATCCAGGTGACACTGATGAATCGCCTTCACTTCTATCGTCAAGGAACTCCCTGACATATTTGTCTAGAACGATAAGCCAGCGGAGCGAGTTTAACCAGTGATAGTGATGGCTTTTAAAACAAAAAAAGACCTTCATATGCATAAGAAAAAACCGATGGGCAGAAGACAAATGGAAGAAGAAAATACCAAAATACAATTGATAATAAGCACTTTATCAAATCAATGCGTAACCGAACACACTATTTCATCGAAAGGACAAATTTTACGAAATAACGAAAAAAAAAGCAATGGTGCATGCAGTTAACAATTTAATATTAAGAAACTGTAGTTAGAAGTCTGCGCATATAGTAACATATGGTGAATATAGTAATAAAAGCCGCTTCAATATCCCAGCGGTGTTTCTCGAAATTAACTTGTTCTTGGGTTTCCTAAAAGGCAAAGGGATTCAAACTAGTGTTTACCTTACCAATAAAACAGTCGGTAGTTTTCCAAGAGAAATGTCGCAGTATATTCAAGATAATGTCAAAGGGATTCGAACGAAAAAATACGATAAGAAAACGATAATGTTCTGCTTGGTTCAAAATTGAAACAAATTAATAAATAATGATAAATTTGCAAGTAGTTAAATAAAAAAATAACTATCAAATCTTTATTGGCAAAAAATTTTTTCTATGTTCTTTAATTATGAGGTTAGATGGTGAAAAAATATTGGTTTCTAAGAAAATTTCTAATAGTTTTAGATATGGTACTCGATGGAGACACTTGGACACCACTGTGGCCACTGAAGGCTGTCATGATTCGCAAGCTGTTTTTTTCTTAGATCGTTTCATCGTCATTACGTTCGCTCCTATGGATCACTCTCGGACTGTACAAATCTTGGGAGGTGGAATTAGAGATGAGAAGCCAGCATCGCCAGGATTTTTAAAACAAAATAGTCTCTTCAAGAAATGCAATCGCAGTTTTAACGCCTCAAAATGATAATTTACCATTCCACGATCTGTTAGAATGAGAAAAAATTCATAGAATTTACTTGATCGAAACGGCTTCCAAAAAGTATACTGTTAATAATATTTGCAACAGATACGCCTGCGTTTTGGCAAATATCCACATCTTGGTCGGATTTCCTTTTCAAAAAATTAATGAACGAATCAATTTCTCCTTGTATTTTCTCTTCGATAAAGGCTCGACCAACGCCGTAGTCTCGTAGGACGCTTAGTGCAAATCGTCGCTGTTCTCGCCATTTGTCACCATCTACTTGGACTATGCCATTTGCACCATCTTAATTTTTTTAGTGTATTGGCATTTTAAAATTTTTTTTAAATGGCAAATTTATTTGCTAAAGACTACTTACTTACTACTCTTCCTGTTTTGGCTGATCTCAGTGGCGATTAAGCACTTTTACTTGAGGACAGAAAAAATTTATAAGATCACCTGAATTTCACTTTGAATGCAATTTACTTCTAGCGAGGAAAAAAAATCCATGATACCAATTTCAGTTGAAACAAAATGCCACTCAACCATTTTATCTTCCTCATAATGAATTATAATTATTCTGTCCAATTATAGGACAAAATAACTGAAGGAAATTAAAAAATATATAAAAGAAATATGAAAACCAACTCATAAATGTATCAGTAATATGGTTCCGCCATCGATTGCTAAATATTTCGGCGTTTTGCACGAAATATTTTTTCATGGTTTTTATCTCACAAACCATTATGAAAGGTATCGGCCCAATCCATACTGTTATAACATTACCTAAACCAGTTTAACAAGTTAATATAATTAAAAAATATTTCTATCACCTAAATCGACTAATTTACCTATAGATCCTCCCAGATTTCTGCTGTTGGATTTAATGGCGTTCCGTTCGTAAACAAGCAGTAAAAATTATGCATATTATCAAGCAATGGGCCGACCAAGGATCTCGCAGTTGCTTATTATTCATACTGAGAATTTCTAAATCTCCTTTTCAAAAGGACAAAATGCACATCTATCTTTACTAGTTTTTTCAGCAACAAAAGAGGGATATTTTAATGTTTTAAGTAAATTTAAGATAAATTTTCTGCATTTCCTTTTTCTGCATTTCCCAGAGGAGCAGGCCATAACCTTGATTAAACTCGTAGTGAAGTTATGATAAAGGCAATCATTGATTACTAATACCACCAATTATCCAGTTTATTCAAACATTATGGAGTAGCACACAAATGGAATTCATCCTTGTTATCCAGGTTACTTCTACCTCTATGGTCTGAATGCAATAGTTGGACGATATGGCAATGGTACCATCTTGAATTTCATCAATTCCATAATTGTAGGTATATCTTCGTTTTCTTCACAGATCTAATTTAAAGAGAAATGGGTGGGAAATGATCGGTAGATACAAAACTCGTTAGAAATATTGTGGCTTATTGTTGAGTGACTTGGGTGAGAAAGGATGTAATTTGAAAGAAATAAGAAATTAGAAAAGATGTTTTGCACTAAGGGGAAATACTGGAGTCTTGAAAAGAAGGGATTATTTCTTTTTTCAAATAATAGTGTATTAAAGTCGTAATTTTACCTAGTTATTATCATTAAAAGCACAGATAATAGTTATCATTTTCGTAATGAAACATTTTTTAAGTGAAGTATTCAATAAAGGCACGTAATTTTTTAAAATTAAGACTATTAAAATTTCATTGTGAACTGGGAAACCAAAATTTCACATGATTGCATCCATTTTCGCTCTATCTGCATCAACTCTATCGTTGCAGAACTTTGCCTTTGCCAGAGGTAAGCAGATTAGGCTATATTTCGCAAGAACTGTCGCATATCTCGCTGTTTGCAGAATCTTTTGATGAATAACAACACTTAAAATTTAAAAACTCAATATTTCCCCTTAGTGCAAAACTCCTTTTCAAAAGTGAGGAGAGCTGAGGGCTGGACTGACATGCCAGAAAAAATTTTGAGTGCATGGGTAGACAACGATATGTGGCCTTAGGCAATGGAAAAAGAAGCTTCTTTTTATCTCAAGCATGGCACTGGGTCGAACTACTTAAAGATATCTTGTTCTGGTAACCAGCGGAGCCAGTCTAACCAATGCTGTTAGAAGAAAAAGGAGGAAAACAAATAAAAAAACTATATTGCGATCTCAAACGGAATCAGCAATAATAAATCTTGGCCTCATAATTTTCAGATTTCTCAAGATTTCTGAACTGTCTTATGGAGTAATAAAGAATAATAGAATTTCAGAACACGGCGATACTTCAAAAAATCGGACATGAAACTGAACAGAAAATATAAAAAAATATAGATTTAAACGATAAATGACTTTAAAATGTTATGTGAAAATTTTTATGGTAGTGATAAAGTAATGATGAATGGATAATTTCTCATGGCTCACTTCTCGTTGATCAAGAAATTCTATCTTAATTTGTGAAGAGAAATATATTCCAAATTTTCAAGGAACTTACCGTATTTTTGTTTCCAAATTAAGAACATTTCTTCCAAACTATCGTAAAACAACATGGAAGGCACATTACCAGCAATAGGCCACGGCAGTGGCCCTGGTGGTAAGAATCTTCGCTTCCAATATGTTTCGTATATTATATATATTAAAAATAATAGTAAAGATGATTTCTAAAAAAAAGTTATTGTTTGGCTCAAAGAAACTTGTTGAATAAAGATAAAATTTATTAAGCAGCCAGATCTGAAATTATTTGCGAATCTCATTCCAGTTCATTCGCAGAACGAGAACAAAATGGCAGAAAGGGCGTACCACTTTGCCTAAATGAAGTATTAACTACGGATCAGATAGGCAGAAATTTTTCAATACATTTTATGTTTCTAATTCGCTTTGATTACTTTAGAAAGTAATTTTTTCGTTGCAATAATCCACGTTTTTTCCCCGTTTTTATACTTTTGCTATCAAATATTCTTTTTTAATAACTATTAACGAACGATTCATTTAATCACTCTAATCTTGTTTAAGTGCGTAAATTTGTTGGTACCAATCATCACAAAAGTTAATTGCTTTGAAAAAATTCATTTTTAAACCGCTTTTTTGCAGAAATTTTAATTTTTTTAATTTTAATTCTAATTTTTAAGTAAACTGAGAAATAACAAAATTAGCAAAATTGCACTTTTATGTAAAATGAACAAAAAGATGAAATTGTTTATGGTTGAGCTGAACGAATCTGCTCGAAAAATGCCGATGAAACTTAACTGTAAGTACATAAGTAATTTCAATACCACGAAATTTCATATAGTAAATAACAGCTCGCAATAATAAAAATAATAAACATAATATCACAAATCGTATTAATTTCCTTCTTTTTTTAATGATATCAGTTGGAAAGAAAAGTTTAAAATTTTTTTGAAATAAATTTTCTTTTATTTCCATTCCTGGAATATGAAAATTTAAGAAATATTCGTCGACAAGTAAAATGAAAGAAATTTTTTTGAATTCATTTCACTGTCCTGAAAATAAACAGTTTTACTCTGACCTTATCAACTTATTTCGTACTTATTTACATAGTTTCATAATGAAATTCGACGGTTATTTTTAGAAAACATTACGATTCAAAGATTCACTAACGTTGGTTAATACGATTTTTTTTTAAAGATTCCTCACCATTACTGGTTAAACTCGCTCCACTGGCTTATCACATTTGAGGCAATATGCGAGGGAAATACAGGTGAGTCGCTAGCATCACCCGTATTTTTGTACAGATTAACCAAACCCAATCAACAAAGTTTACTCCTGCGGAGAATAGAACTTCAGCATCGGCGCTCCCAATTGAGCAACAACCCACTCAGCCATTCTATTCCCTGGTAGATACGATTATGTCCATCAATACCTTATTAGTGTTCAAGCCTAAGATTTTGGGATATTTCTTGCCTTAAGAATTTTTCCAACTAATTTAATCGCTACAAAATGATCGAGCGTAGGCAATGCTTCATATTCGAGATTTTAAATGTGAAATGCCCGAGATTTCAAAAAATTCAAGAAAATGGATTTGGATTTTGAAAATGGATTTTTATATAAGAAAACGATAATGCAATCGTTTCTTTTGTAACCAGACTGCTAATAGAGGAGATGGCCAAACGGTTTGTCACTTCGGCTGAGATCAAATATCATAGTTGGCGAGCGAAACCAGTTGTTCAAACTAAATTCGTGTGTTACTGGGAATCGTCTCTGTGTACTTTCATTGACTGCCTGACGAAGAGACTGAGGCCAGCCAAAGTAGAAATAATGAATACTAGTAGAATATTAGAAAAAGAAGTTGCAAATTCGCAAATTTTTCAATACATAAATGTTCTTATCCATCTTAGAAAAAATTTATCAATTGTGCAGATAAAATTTATTCCAACAATAAATTGTTAATAAAATAATACAACTTGTAAATGTAATACTTAATGCAGAATTTGATGTCACGCAAGAATGCAGTTATATGAGATGATTTATGCGAAAAATCTTGCCGGAAAGAGTTTTCTATAAAATGCCGTAAATGAAAGTTGTAATAAAGAAATTTAATACGAGAAAATGGTTTCTTTAAATGGAAATTTCATTAAGGCACAAAAAATGGAAATTTAAAAATGGCGCATAAAATCGTTGTTCCCAGAAAATTCTATTTTCACAAGAAAACGACCGCTAAACCTGAAAATAAAAGAATTCGAAGGAATTCTTTTTAAAGCGATAAATCCGAATCGACAATTATTTTACTGAGAAAGCACAATGATAACTGAACGATTTAACCGTAAAAATGAAAAAAATTTTTTTTTCATTGAGTCTGACACAAATATCAAAGTAATTCATTAAAACTTTAGAGACTAAATTTATTTTAAAAGCAATTTCGGTAAATAATCATGGCGATTACCCACTGACCCGTTTTCTTGGCAAATCAATAACCGAATTTCACCAAATTCTTATTAACCCCGCATTTTAGCTCAATGTAATGTACAATGAAATTTGAAAAAAAAGTGGACTACGAAATTTTCGAAGCGATAAGCCATTATTAGAATAGATTTTAAAAAAGGGATAAAATGGAAAAAAAGATGAACCGCATTAAGCAGAAGAGCTGTACGTCGACCACATTTTGGCTTTCAAGCATTTTGGGTTCGATTCCTCCTTTCAATGGGAGTACCATTAAAGGAGGAATCGAAGTGGTTCTCCAGATGGCTTCTCACTTAATTATTCAAAACACTTGCAATTGTTGCAAAGCAGTTGCAAAAATGTACCTCAAATCTTGTAACGCCGCAGCACTTCGTAAATATCGTAAATTATTTCATTAATTTTAAAAGAAACAAAATAAATTTTGAATGGTTTTCCAGAAAGCAGTCAAACCAAAAACCACTGCCTCACCACCGCCGGTGGAATCACCTAAACGAGAACGCTGAAGCAGAGAGAGTGGCAAAGACGCAGCTCCGTAGGCATTTCACTTTCGCAATAAAAGAAGGAAAATAATCGGATTATACGAGTTTTACTCGTGCTCGGTGTTATCCAAAACACATTATTTTATTATTAGAAAACGAAAAATACAATTAATGCAGTCGGAAGAGCGATTTGCAAGTGGCTAAACTTGGAAATATCGCCCCTCCCCAACTCTTCGCCCATATTAATCGTCGCAGTACCATGCGGTCCGACTCAGCGACTCTGAGGCTGAAGCAGAGGAAATTCCCGAACGAGCAGCTGGAGATATGAACCAGTGTTGGGGATACGGCATCTCTTCTTGAGATCGCTCATCACTCAGAGTGAACTTCTCCGCTCTGCGGCGCGATTCAAATCCGAACAAAAATGGTGACAATTAGTTCCGTCAAATTCCGTCAGAATAACGTTAAAAAGACGGAATATTTCCTTTTCCCACATTGTCGCCATCCATCGAATTTCGTTCGCCGCAAAATCCGTATTTCTTCTAAATAAATCTAAATTTTGTGTCAAATAGAAAAAGTGCGAAAAAAATAAATCAGAAAAATTTACTTTTTATAAGGGAAAAGAACGACCGTAATAAAATTCGAGATGATATTTAGCTGTAAAATGTGGAACAGGGCGGATTTTAATCTGCAGCTTCGGATTCTATTTGTGATTTTTGTTGGGTCACAGAAAGAAATGTCATCGACGAAGCAGGGTCAGTTGGTTTTCTTCTGAATTCGTTTCATTATTGGCTATATTCAATTTGTTATTTAATAATCCTTAAACAGTTCACAGTTGACTGGAGGTAATGCATTCAGCAATAAAAATGATGGCCATTTGCATTGTAGTGCGACTGTGGCGTTATTAATATTAGTCAGGTCCACTTCGAAAGGAATCTTATTTGCTTCCCTAATCTTTCTAATATTTCCTACTTGACTGTGAAATGCAGTCCTTCCGATTATTGTGCCCAAGAGTTCGACCGACAAGAAGTCGATCTAAATCGCAGCCGCAGCCGTCAAATACTGTAATCACTCAGGGCTAGCTTATTCCACTAGCGAGGAATTTTCTGTCTGAAAGTCAGTTTGGAAGAGATGTGAGTGGGTCATGATAACATTCATTAACGACAGCATCATTGTCGAAGACAAGGTCGGAACCTTGGCATTCGTGAGAGGGTGACGTCGAAATGGTTAGAAATATTGGCGGAAGTGTGGCGAGTGTGGAAAGGAGATGGTTGGGTCCGAGGAGGTATTAAGGAAATAAATATACTCGGCTTTTAGGTGCGTGCCAAGGCTCGAAAGTTCTCCTGTCTACAGGTGGTCGAGTGTATTTACTAATTTATTGTAGTTAACCTGTGTTCGACATATCTTCTCTTTGTCCTCTTCAAATCCCGTTGCTTCCCTATTCTGGCACTGTGCTCTTCCTTAAGCTCATTATTAAACCATTTTTTTCTATGTTCTTACTTCAGTTTTCTTCCATTCGTCTTCTTTTTTCTGCAACGATAATTTACCAAGTTTATGCAATGTGCAATGTTTAAGCCCCGATTATTGATGCAATAAATATGAATGCATTGTTCTGCGCGAAGCTTAATTTAACCGAGCTTAATTATGTTGGAACTTTTTATTAATTAATTTTTTTAAACGCTCCGCAAAATTTATTATCGTTTCGTTGGCAATTTCAGAAGATAACAATCGAAAATTGCTTGAAGAATTAAATCGGACAAGACAGTTGATGATGAAAAATACTGGGTAAGTCTCATTTTAAACATTGGTTCTTATAAAATTAGTTTGGTCGTTTATTGAACCGTAATAGTTGCGTTTTTTAATAATTCAGTATGTTTTCTGAATTATTGTGAAAAAAAGATTTGATGAAGTATAATGATTATATAGTAACTTAATTAAATAAATAGTGACTTTATCCCAAACTTAAACTTAAGTAATATATGAAATATGAAATTGAACAGATTCTGACTTCTTTGTTGGAAAAAGATTGCGATTTCTTTAATATTCAGCAATTTTTATTCTCTAATATATTGCATTATAATTTAGTTTTGAAATCATTAAAATTAATTTTGCTAGAAATAATCCGATTGTATTTTTGTCATGGTTGTGCTTTATGCAGAAGCCAAAGCATTTTATTTTTAGAAGCGTTAAAGTAGCAAATTGACCATATGAAAATGCTTCGAGCAAATTGGCACGCTTAACTGTGTATGACCGACTGAACATATGGCTGAACCACATTCTGAATTGGTGGTCGCCACGAATTCCTTGAAATTGTAATGTAATATAACTAGTTCTTATCAATTTTAAATTGTGCGTAGGTCTATGCCATTCTCCAGCATCATTTCAAATTAATTCAAGGGCAAGTGGGCGCCAATTGGCTTTGGAAAGCAATATTTCGAGATGTGATCCACGAACAGTTCAGCTGGTAAATAATTTAGATTCACAGACACCGATTACTTTTATACCAACGAATTCGCAACATAACAATACTATTTTACCTGTTTTTCCTCGTTTTCCACCTACTACATCTTAATAATAATACATTTTTATTCTAATTTGTATGGAATTGTTGCTAAATTATTTGTAAAAATTTGGCAAAATGAATTAAATAAACAAATGAAATGATTTTTTCGGATTAAAATATTTATAATTTGATTAGACTTCCTCATTTATTGCATTCTGGATTTTTTTTTTAAGTACTAAATCATTGGACTTCAGATTTTGAAAAAAAAATCATGTCATTCGTTTATTTAGTTCATTTCGCCAAAATTTTTTTTCTGTTTTTTGTGAAAGTTTCCAGTTATCCGTTGTTTTTATAATTTACGACACTTCACATTTCGAAATATTTTATATCCATGTATCTCAGTGATGTTGAGGTAACTGATGTTACATCAGACACGGAAAGGTTGGAGTTGTTTTTTTGAATTCATGAGAAAATATGCATTGTTTGATATAATTTTTTTGTTAATGTTATCCCATAATTATGTGAATCATAAATGAATTAAGATAAAAGCTCTTTTATGTCTCTTCAGCAATGAGCTAAATGGGAAACAACGCTTTGTAACAAGGTTTACAGTTTATGGTTTTTTTATGAATAAACGAACGGTCTGACTGAACGAACCATAATATCAGAATTATCAAAATTGCCAAAAATTTTTTGTAATCAAGAAGTGGTGATTGAAAAAAGTAGAAACAGAACGGTGTTGTGGTATGTCGCATATTGCTTCGATTGCGTTGGTAGTTCTGATCGCTTAGTTGGAACAAACTGCGAAAGAATTGAAGAGTCGAATAGCGCTGCAAACAGTCCATTTCCAAATAATTTTCTCAACTTAGCAATCAGTGGAGCCAGTCAAATAAGAAATGACAACTATTTCCGGTACAGTGGCAAAAGGAAAGGCGAAAATTGGTTTGGTTGATTAGGTTTTAAGGGGAAGTATGTGAGGATTGAGTATTTTTTACTGGTTTTCAATAATTCGACGAAGAATAAGAGGAAGGTTCTGTTAAGTATTGGCCTATAATTAATGAAAAGGAGTGTACCGTTTTAAAAAAATGAAGGAGTGGTGCGTTGGTGATAACTGCCACCGAGAATCGACTATTCGATCGCGCTGATTTACCACTCTTCGTTGGGCTGCACTAACACGAAAGTGAATAGAATGGCTCAGTGGGTTGCTGCCTAATTCAGAGCGCGCTTCCTGAAGTCCTATTCCCAGTAAAAGTAAATCTGTCCAAAAATCCGAGTGATGCTTCCGATTCATTATATCGCCAAGAGACCCATTGGTATATTTGTCTAGTCCGAGAAGCCAGCGGAGCAAGTGTGACCAGTAATGGTGAGTGCTATTTAAAAAAAAGTGCGTAAATCAGTCTGCCAGTTCCTTTTGCCAAAAAATCGTTTAAATATTGTAGTAAAATCAATTTATTAAATTGTATGACCTCTCTTGCTAAACTGAAAATTTTGAGATATGACAGATAAAACAAACGGTGAGGTGCCTTAAATGAGGGTTAACAATTAGGTTAAAAAACAACTGGTTGAATATCAGTTTTATTGCTGGAATTGTAGACAAATACATTTATAGGAATTTTTGATCATTCCTATATTAGGAGGAAACTTTTTCCCCATATTATTTCTTGAACATTGCCATATGATTTTAGGATTTTAGGATTGACGGCGCAATTTTCATGAGTAAAGTGAGTAAAGGCAATGAATTAAATTATAAGGAAATAATTGTATAACATTGGAATTTCTAAAAAGAAATTTATTCTTGGAAATGAAAGCATTAAATTCCGCTTTTATGAAATCATGAGGCAGAATAAGAGAATCTTTAGGTTTTATAAACCTAAAATTTCGAATTATTCAAAATGAAAGGTCAAACATTTCGTGAAATATTTTGAGGCACTACATTTTTCTTCAGTAAATTAAATTTCGATAAAAGTGCACATCTTTTGGTCTTTTAAGACTTCATAAATGACGAAGAACTGGCTGAATTTGCATTGACAAAAGCCATAAAGAGTGCAAACTTGGGCAGTTGCTACCTGTCTCAATCCGTCAAAATTATCAACAAAGGACATAATAGTAGCAATAACATTTTTTTTCTCATGACTTGATAAAGTACATAATTATGAGTATTTGCATAATTTATATTAAAGTAAAGTTTGCGACAGAAAATAATATGTGCCTTAGAACTGGAATGACTGATTGTTGTACAGTTTCCATTTGTTAAGTCAAAATAGCCAGCTGAAGTGACGGAATTCACTCATCAAAATTAGTAGATTAATTATTGCCATAATTATGGAACAATGTTTATCGTATTGATCATTCTTCATTTTGAATTAATTTGTACTAAACTGCCTCATAATGTTAGAATTTTGCCTTTTTTTCGCGCTGGTACCATTAATTTTATATTATATAATTTCTGACAAATTTGCCATAATTATTCAAAAGAAATCCGATATTAGGGTCTCATAATTTTCTAATATTTCTCATTATTTGATTACAATTTTAAGAATTGGAAAAATTTGAAAATCCTTGAAAATTTTTCTGAAAATATTTTTTATTATATTTCGAAGAAAATTTTAGAATAATAAAATAAATTTCTGTAAAATAATTACCTAAAATTTCTAGTAGAGATATATTCTTCAGATTATTTTTTGAAAAAATTGAGATATTTAGGAAAATAAAGTTTTGTTGAAAATTACTCAATAAATTTAAAAATTTATAGGCAAATAAAGCTGGTTGTTCATCACTTATTGTGTTTGGTGATAGTCTATCAGATGACGGAATCGAATTCGGTGATAATTCTTATGGTTTCGAAAGGAACTGTAATGGCCCAGTATGGCCTGAATACTTAAGTCAATTGCTATCTTGCAAAAAAGTATTTTTGTTGAGCTGCATAGGCCTTTTGATTTGACATCCTATACAATTTCAGTTGCTTAATTATATGAAGAGAAAGCATGGTTTTAGAAAAAGTGAAAAATTACAGTATATAAATTATGCATATAGCGGCGCCAAAAGTGGTTATGATAATGTATATTTCACTGGTTGGTCAGGTCTTTTGTGGCAATTTGAAACATTTATAAACAATACTCCACTAATTCCGACAGGTTTAGCTTTACTTTAAATGAAGAAACATTTGTAAATGAGCAGTTGACGAGCAAAAATCGTACATGAAAAATATTTACTTTTTCTATGCGGCATGATGCAGCAAATCTGCGTGTTTAACTAATATTTACCTCGTAATCAGATACGATAATAATATTACAAAGCGGTGGTCTGCTGGATGTACTCAGTGGAGAAATTAATATGAATAATATTGTTAGAAATTTTAGAAAAGCTTTCGAATTGATGAAAACGAATATTAAACAAGGTTGGAATTAGTTGATCCATAAGCTTCATTTTTACAAATTATAAGCAATTAATTAAGTGCTTAATTCCGCAATTTTCAGGCCATTTTAAGTTTTATTAATTTTCGTTAATTGGAGGCATAAATTAAATTCGAAGAAAATTTAAACGCATGTATCCAAAAAATTTTGCATTTATATCTTAGGAATGATAATAATAATGAACATAATCGACCCAACGGATGCTCCCGGAATGCAGTCAGCTGAACTTGGCTCTGGTTTAATTGACGATGTTTCGCAGCTTGTTGTTAATACGAATTCAGTGAGATTTTTTAATGTTGTTGTTATATAAATAAACGAAATTATACTCATTAATAGAGCAGCATTTACACGATTAGATGAATGTCAACGAGTTTTGTTATTTTTAATCGCTTCAATCGTCGCTTCAATAGATTCATTCTTGAACTCTCTCTTGATCCACGAAATTCTCGAAGCATAAAGAGGCAATTATTTGTCAAAAAAGTGTAATTTCACTTTTAATGGCAATTACTGTCGAGACCATGCGATTCTCCAGAGGGTCAGCTAGGGACACAGAAATAGAGGATTCACTTTTAATGATATTCATAACTTTATTCCTTGCAAGGAAGAGAGAAAAGATCGAACCGATGACGCTAGTCAGTGAAATACAAATGGGCTTTAACGTGATACGATAAAACCTTTCTCAAATAAAAATTATTTATTATTCAGAGAATAAATAAAATGATTATAAACCACAAATCTATGTCGCCAAAAGTTGCTTTATTCGATTTAAATTCTATTTTGTTGGATTTAACAAAATATTTGAATAAAAATTCTCAGTTTACTTACCAAAAACAGAATTTCACGTAAGTTTTACGTATTTGATTTTCATTCAATTTTTTTCATTTGTAAATTCTTTAAAATATTTAGAATTTTAAAAAATTGATATTTTTAGTTTGCGAGAGATTTTCGATTACGCTTATTATGATTTATGGAATCCAACAACGTTCGTCCACTATAATATTGCTTTGAAGTTAATTAAACTCATTGAAGATATTTGACTGTAATTTTTCCTTTTTTTGCCAAATTTAATTCGTGCAGATAAAGGATTCATCAGCCATAGAAAGCATATTTGCTACACGCACCATATATATATACAAGACACTGAATCCAAAAGAATGTAAGCAAGAGATTCAGACTACAGTTATCCTATATCTTTGATATGATTTGTTTCATGAAAATAAATTCATTTATTTTCATAATTTGAGTCGCTCTATTTGGCTCCGTAGTTTATGAGATGAATTTTGGAATTCATTTGCCTTTAGATTCTGAGGGCAATATATAGCAGAGGTAAGCCTATCTCGAAAACCAAGCGGCTAGGGACCCATCTGTACCTCTATCCTCAAATGACTCTAAATGACGAATAAGTCTCACCTAAGCATAACATTCAGTCACTGACGTAATGCTGCCAGAAGAATTTACAATAATAATGCATAAGTAATAACATTAATAATAATAGTAATATAATAATAATAATAATAATAGTAATATATTAATAATAATAATTTTGTAATTGGCTAAAAACCAATCAGATAGTATTCTTGTAAACCTTACTCTTGAATTTTTTCATTCTCTTTTCTTGCATATTATATTATAACGAATTATTTCTTGCCACATCATTAACCTAGCCTTGAGCAAAATTGTAACAAGTGGTATTTTGAAAATATTTTATTTTTATATTATATTTTATTATTATATAAATATTATATTTTTTTCTAAAGTTTTATAATAAGTGGTCTGAACTAAATATACTCACGAATCATAAATTTTTGGTGATATATTACTGAATAGATTAATTCTTTTATTCACAGAATGTTGTTTGTTTTGTCAAAAAATCTCAAAGATCAACAGATTATTGGAGCCTAAAAATTTTTCTTATTTTGCATTACTTGATTCTTTTATCATTTTATTTGATCAGTTTATTTCATAGGGATGGTATTAATAAACTTATAAAATGGAAAAAAATAATTATATATAATAATTAAAATGAAAATATAATATAATATAAAATAATAATTTTAGCAAACATATTCATGGCATATTTCTTTGCATTGGCTGCCAAAAAAAGATATTCAGTCAAGTTGAAAACTTAAAGAATTGTAAATTTGTCTCATAATTTATCAGTTTCAAAACCAAATAGAATTAAAGAATTAGTATATTTGCTTATTTCTCGCAGTAATGACATTGTCTTTTCTTTAAGCTATGAAAAAAAAAATTTTTGTATTGTAAATTATTGTAAGAAATTCCCTTAGGCCCTTGGGCAATATATTTTTTAACTCGCTTGAATATTGCAGTTTTTCAACACTTTTCTCATAAATCTGCTCATTATCCCCATCCTTCATGTTGGGTATCATTTTTGTCAAAAAATATTGCTTATTTCAGTGGATGGAAGTCGAATCCTTACAGGGAAATAAAGACAAAAAATATATTTTTCCACAAAAGAAGTTTTCGTTGAATTCACGTTTTGAAGGAAAAACTTCCTTTCATAAGAACTTATCATATGGTTCTTATAGAAAAAATCTAAAATTTATTTAACAACTTATGTTTGCAACTTATGTTTACCAACTTATGTATGCTTCATAGGTACACGATAGAAACTATATGAAGATGAAAAAATTCAATTCAAAATACATATTTAAAATTGTTGTTATCGAGAAAATTCGAAGTACCAACTTCATGTAAATAATTTATCATCAAAATTTATTCTAGAACGAATACATAAAAACGCTGTGGAAATATCTTACGACAATTGGCACAAAACGAGTTTCTTCCCGAAAATAATCGAATCATCGACGAGCGACTAACGGCATTGGATTATTGAACAGATAAGTTTAATCGCCTCCAGAAAAATACAACAAAGACTTTTAATGAAAATTGAAGATGGGGTTAATGTGTATAATAATTTCTGGTCCGATGACGGGATTCAAGATGATAATTTCAATCTTATTTAAATGTTTGTTCAATCATATCCGATCTCACTTTCTGTATTCTCAAATCATCGTAAAAACGAATTTTTCTTTGTTTTTTTCTCCTCCCTTTCCACAAATAGTAAATATTAATAAATCAGTGTCAGGAAATTTATTTCGATTTCCTTATTTATTCGTAAATTTAACATTAAATATAATTTTACACTTTAAAAATTTTCCAAAATTCTTTTCATGAGCTAAATTTTTTAAGTATTTTGCCTAGTTGCTTCCTTCTGACTTAAAAATTTGAATCAATTTCTATACAATTTCATGCTTTTTAACTATTTATCAAAGTATCAAGATAAATTTGAAAGAGACTGGTTAAGATTTTGAAGGGATTTTTTGAAATTTAATAACAATTAAAATCATCTTTTGATATCCTTTAACATTTATACTTTGGATAGTTCAACTCGTTTATAGGTGAGACTCACTTATATTTTATTTTTAACGATAAATTTGATATCTTTAGTGGAGTGGAGCTGAACCCATAAAGCTTGACCTCAACCAAAGTAACACACCCATGCCATTACTACTCGGCCACTTCCCATTCAAAATCATCATTATTTTCTTAACTTGTAATAATTTAATTAATTAAAATAATGTTGTGTTTCATATAACTAACTTCCGTATAATCATACAAATGAATTCATTAATGCGCATATTATTTATTTATGGATAAGAATTTCATTGGTAAAGTTTAAATGACAACTGATATTTATTTAAGAGATATTCGCTAATATCCACTGATATTTGCATATTCAAATCTAATTTGAAAAAAAAATTTTTGTGATTTTTTTGCCCTTTGTTTAGAAATCTTGTTTAGTACAACAAATACCGATATGATCAACATCATCGCCACCACGATTTTATTCTTTAAATCCATGTTCAAATCACTACGATCATCGCCATTGCCATCCAAAAATTTTGTCGAAAATTTCCTTCTGTCTTGTGGAACCAGATTCATGTCATGATTGCGATGGATTCATAAAATATTTAAAATGTTTTGACGAAATTTTACTGCTTCTCTCTATCATTTCGAATATATTTTATTCCTTTCATTATGGTAAATTTGTGGATTTACTGCAATGCACTAAACTTATTAATTTTATCATTTAGCTGAAATTTTTCTATTGTAACAATCGCATGGTGCGGTGCCTGCTGAAAAATAAAAAGTTTAACTGGTTTCATCTGTTTCTGTTCATGCGAACTTTTTAGGGATTTCGATTCGTTGCTAATATTTTACAATTTTTTATGAGTCAATCATGTCATTGCTTTCACTCTTTTCACCAACTGCTCTCTTGTTTTCGCAAATTGTTTTCATAACAATTGAGAGCAAAGAAAAATCGTAACTGTTGCTGAAAAATTTACAAATTAAAATTTTTTTCTTCAAATTTTAGTAAATTTGGCCGATTTCAGAGAGAAATTCGACAGGAGGAATGAATGAATGAATTTGTCATTAAAAGATCCTAGTGCCGTTGGCAATCCATTTGTTTTTCTTTCTAATTATAGAAAAAGATCATTAATTATGAAAATTTAATTTTTTATGGTTTTTTATGGTTTTATTCCTATTTTTTCCCATTTTATTCTAGCATGGCTATGAAGGGATTTAAGCCGATTTAAAATTTCAAACTTGATATTTGCTTGGCTATCAAAAAATGCAGCATTCATTTAAAAAGACTTCTAACAATCTTGCAGCCATTACTCGTTAGATTGACATAATTAGCTACAAAGATAAGACTTTTCCAAGTCGCTTGATTTGATGCCTTCCCTGAAAGCAACAGAAATTACTGCCAACGTCTAAGCTCATAAATCGTCGGATCATCTCTAAATTCGAAATCTATCTTGACCATTTCCAATTTATAATTTGTCACTTTTGACACTGCCTAAAAAGAGCTCAGTAAGTAGCGACATGACCAACAAGCTTAAGCGACGCACTGTCATTGTTTATTGCAATAATTCTTATTTTTCGAAGATTGAGCATATGAGACTCTACTCTCTCGATGGAAACTATAACTTAAGCATAAATTAAATGGGAAGCTTCTTGACATCTTCCACTGCTACTTTTCATGGCCATATAATGGAATAAATGGTAAGCAGTCAGATATATGTGAACTTTCATTTTAATGGTGATTTCGTTGTGAATCGGCATTTCTAATAACTAATATCTGGGATTTCGCCTTGGGCTTAGCCACTCAATGCAAGTATGGATTTGATCATCTAAAATCCGTCATTTCCTCCATCTATGATGAATTTATGCAAAAGATTACTTTTTTTTCAGTATCTGTATGGTATATGAGAAGAGAATCTGCAAACGATATCCATAATCCAATCATCAAAATGGATCAAAATTAAAATTCTGGGCTAGAAACAAATTAAAATAATCAAGCAAAAAAAAGCATTTCGCAAAATTTATTAATGGATTTTCATTGCTCAAAAAAAATCAAACTTTCCTGCCAAACCTGTTATAAATTGAGAACAATTTCGTAACAAAAAATTTTTTCAAGAACTTTATGAGTTAATAGAGTAATAATCGCTTATTTATCGTTGCCAAAAGGTCGTACGTTCCACCTGACTTACGAAAAATAATTGGTCTCGAAAATCCTTTTTCACTAGAGTAAATTTAAAGTAGTAATTTTGGAATTCAGAAAGTCGTTTCATTTCTAAGTAAAGCAAGCAAAATTCAAAACAGTCGATTAATAGGAATCAATTAATTTGCAAAATGACCAAATAAAAGAAAAATACAGTGCATGGAACTCCTTGCAAGGGTAACTCCTTGGCGTTCATCTGAATTTCAGGTGAAGAATTGATATTTAAAGATTGCCTCTCGTTTTTATCATTTATTTTTCAGACTTCGTTCTTGTTCGTTTTTCCTTTTACTACAGCAATTCCCTTTAGTTTGGAATTTTAATTTGTTACACAATGCTTCTTTTCTCTTCATTAAAGATTTTCTTAATCCAAGTACATTTTTTATATTAATTATAATATATATAATAAAGATTTAGTAATAGAAAATCTTTTCCACAATTAAATTAATAAGATGATAAAATATAGTCGAAAAGTTTTGTGCTAACACTAACTCGAAAGTGCAAAATGATGGCTCGAGCTTGGTTATCACCTTAAAAAGTCAAAATGCATTGATAAGTAATTGAGCAATGACTTTTCGAAGCATGTATCATTTTATTTTGCGCTCTTCTCATTGATTGTATTGCTTTAACAATATCATGGCTGAGCGCTGAGTTTTATTTGTGATAAATGAGATTCAACCAGTTTTCTTATTTTAAGAAATCGAACGTTTATTCTTTCCTTTTTTCAAAATTTTCAACCAAGTTCAATTGATATTTTTATTTCTTTTTATTATTATCACTAAAATATTGCAATTTTGTTTCATGTATTTCGTACATATTATAAATAAGTGTTTTATATATTGGTAATATTCTGTCTCTTCTAGTGATAAATTTGATTTCTCAGGAACCAGACTTGTGCTATTTACCCTTTGAAAAACATAGTAGTAGTAGTTTGACCTTAGATAAAGTTACCTATCACTTAACCACTGATCTCTTCTTATTATGCACCTTTGATGAGATTAGTAGTTGAGAATTAATCCATCAATCTAAAATTAATCTAACAAAAAGGATCAAACAAAGAATCTTGAGTCTTCTTGCCCATAATTATTCAATGAAATTTATTGTTTATTATTTTTATTTATTTATTTTATTTTTATTATATTTACGTTATATTTATTTTATTTATTATTTCCTATCAATTAAATGTCACTGCTTATCGTTTTCAGTCTTAATCAGTCTTATATTTAGTCCATTTAATTTAATTATTTTTAACTAAATTTGAATTATTTCGAAAAGACTAATTATAACTTTTTAAACTATCAATTTTTCGAAATAAGTTCTACAACCTCCTTTTTCTTAAAAGAACTGACGTTTTCTTGTTTAGCTGTGGTTTCACTTCTATTTTTTAAATATAGAAGACAATAATATGATCCCAATTACCATCCTAAAATATCGTTATTTCAAAGCCTTTATTTGAAAAAAAGCTTCAACAAAAGATGAGTATGCTGCAAATAGAAAAGTTTGCAATAATTTGTTTCCAAAATGATATTTTTTATTATATACAGGTTCTACAAATCCAGACCACTTAATATACCTTAACCAGGATTGATAGATGTGGAAAAAGGAATGGCTTCTGTTACTATTAGCGATGGCATCTTACCGGGCAGCTTGGACATGTCTTACTCTTGTAGCAGCCTAACCAGCAATGGTTAGAGCTGTTAGAAAAAGGGTTGATAGAAAGGCTTAGTGGATAGTAATTTGTATTTTGAACCGCTGAGAATCTGATCTTGGTAGAAGTAAACCAATGTTTCAAAAATCCTGGTCATTTTTAGCAAAATTTGCTTGACTCGATAAGCCAGAGGGAGAAGTTTAACTAGAAATGCTTACTTTACACCATTCCTTAGTCAGTATGGATATCGAGTATTTATTCTAAGTCTTTCCAATTTAATATATTCACTTTCTATCGAAATTATGCAACAATAAAATTCCATTGAACTCCTCTTAAATTTAACTCATGTGGTTTTTTCTCCAAGAACGATGATAAGGCTCACTACGACAACAACCGAGGAATAAGCTCGCCAAATATTTCTGAGAAACTTTTTGCTTTTCTTCCGCTAGATAGGCTCATGGCAATGCATGATGGCAAGACACGAGGATGTTTTTATGCCAATTTTAATTAATATGTTAAAATAACAATGCTGCAAAATTTCCATGCTAAGAAAGTTATTGGAATTTCGTTTCAAATATCGATAAGCTGCTATCATATTCTTCATCGACTTCGCCGCTGCTTTTGATTAGATTAAGAAGATGAGCTATACACGATGGTGGCAGAGAAATTAATCACCATTTCAGCATAGGTATGTGTGTATGGGTAGAAGCTTTGGCTGTCCAAACCAGGACTGAAAGGCGTAGAAATATCTTGCCCTAGTCGGCAATGGAGCTAACCAAAGCAACAATGGAAATTTTTTCTAGAAAAAATAGAAAGTTTTTTCGCTAGACACAAGTGGAAAGTTTAATTATCATGAGATGATAGGATAAGCGACTAAATAATTTATAAAACTTCTTAATGGCTTTTTTTTTCTAAATTCTTTAAAACATTCATTTTTATTATAGTAAGCAAGTTTTACTGCAAAATTCATTAATATTTCTATATTTCACTAATGTTTTCCCTATTTCATTTAATTTTTTATTGAATTGTCAGATAAGCACTGTTATTTTAACAGATTAATTAATGAATTAACACATTTAAGGAAGCTTTTCAATACGAACATTTAGAAAACCAGTTGGAAGGACAATCAGTGCTGCATATTTTTTTAAGAATCACTTTGTTCATCTTAAATTGAATTTCCGCAAAATTTCCGAATTTTATTTATCTTCAGCGCTAAAATCTAAATGAAACATAGCACCTTCATTTAGAACTAAGAATTTAGAACTAAAATTTATAAAAAATCGTAGATTCATTCAATCGAAACTAAATACATTGGTACATTTTTTTTTAAAAAACATTCACCATTACTGGTTAGACTCGTTCCGCTGGTTTATTGTGCAAATATACCGGGGAGTTCTGGGCAAATATGCCAGAGAGTTCCTTGGCGACAGAAATGCAAGTGAGTCGCCAGCATCATCAGGATACGGATTAATACGCATACTCCTGCGGGAAATGAATCATCATCGGCGCTCTGAACTGAGAAACAATCCACTGAGCCATCTTACCCCATCGATATGCCCTTAACGAATATGGAATGTTATAGAAAAAAGGGAGTACGAGAGATTATCATATTATTATCGTATAATTTCAGAGAAGTGAATCTTGAAATCCTGAAGAAATTCTTGAAATATGCTCAGAGCATATTTTGCAGACAGATACATGTTAGTCTGTTTTCCAGACGATTTATAATGCAAAAAATTCATAATTTTTATTGAATTCAAGCATGGAAATGTAAATTTACAAAACAATCTAACAATTTTTATGCAGAAGTCAGATATTTTTACTTATAATTTTGCGATTAATTAAATCATATTGACTGATGTGAATAGAATAATAGAATATTCTATAATAGAATAAATTCAATTTTTTAGCGATGACTCGATGAATACGTCTTATCATCGACCAACATCATCACTTAGCAATGAATCAACTAACAGCGAATCTGGGTTTATGCTTTATTTATCATTTATCCACAAATACAGAATATTTCTTTTATAACTAATAATTCTGGACAATGAGTATTCAAGATGCCTCACGAAATTTATAAGCTATGCTTGAAGATTTCGCCAATCAAAGATTTTGTCCCATAGAAAGCGAATTATTATCCGCTATATAATATAATATAATATAATATAATATAATATAATATAATATAATATAATATAATATAATATAATATACGCTCTTTACGCTCTTGAACATTCCTCACTCTCTCAAACCTGCACAATTCTCCTACGTCTCTGTAGTACTTTATGAAATACACTTATATCTATGAGACCTTATTCTTCTCGCCAAAACTCTTGGGTTGCCTAAGATTAGTTCTCTGCATCCATATTAAAACCTCCTATATTTTTGCACTTTCCCTTAAAACCTTAAAATGATTTTATTTTGACACATAATTAATTATTGCACTGCAATATGACTTCATTTTTTTTAAAATTTTGAAACTTTATCAAAGATGGGTTATCAGCACCACATAGATTTTTGAAAGACAAATTCAATCCTTACGGTAATAAAACTCCAGCGTCGATGGTCAGAAATAAGATGAACTAGCCATTCTATTCACTACATTTTTATTATTATTGTTAACATTAATGTTATTGTTATTGCTATTATTAGCGAATTTTGCTAACCACAGTTTGTTCAGAAGAATGCCTGTATCAACAAATCTAAAGATAAGGGACGAAGAAATTTCGATTTTATTCGAAGAAGTGCGATCGTTCTTTCCAAACAATTCTGCGACAAGAAGGTAATTTGGTAATAAATAATTTGATTTATCTAAAGACTTCATTAGATTTAGATTTTTTGCTATATGTGCAAAAAATTATAACTTATAGAACCGCAAATTTACAAATTAATAGGAAGAATCTGGCTGGAATTTGCGAATATAATTTTTACTGCAGATTATTGAAAAAGCTACAAATTAAGAAAAAATTTTTTTTCATCTTTTTTCCGTAAATTTTGCTCGATATAAAAATTCTAAACATTGAGTAATATTAACTTCATTCGTGGTGTTAAAATCCATATATCCTTAAGCGATTCCCTAGCTAGACAGTGTTAGCAATCAGTGAAACCAAGCAACATAAAATTGGTGAATACTGTCGCGAAAAAAAAATGAGACTCGATCAAAAGGTTATTCAGGCTAAATATTGGTAATCTATTGGAATCTGAAATTGGAAAAGAAAAAAATTATGAAACAAAAATTTCAAATTCAAGCAATTCAGGTCATATGCAAAGATTAAAGGATTATTCTTTAGATGAAGTGAAGGTTGCTATTCGGTTCGTTTTCATTCCCTGATTTTCTCGCTAATTATGATAATTGTATTGTATGAAAATATTTTATGAAATTATGGAAATTTAATGTTGAAAAATTGTTAACCAAAATTTCACAAATAATGTGCAGAACCCTTTTCGGATTTGTTTCTTATTTCGCTTGTTCGATAATCGGAAATTCTAAAATTTGGAAATTATATAAATTATGAATCTAAATTTAAGAAAAATTAAATTGTGTAAATTTAATATAAATTAAAATGTAAATGTAAATTCAAATGTAAATTAAAATTTAAAAAATTTCGCAGTTTTAAATTGAGTTTCTAGCAATGTGCGACCGTTAGCGAAAGTCCGCAACGCTTTGCTTTCTACTGAAAGAAAATCGCTTAAAGCTGATAGCTATAAAACGGTAAAATTTTTATTAATTCTTTATGGTCCTTTGTAATTTTTTCACTGGTTAAACTCGCTCCACTGGCTTGTCGCATTGGACAAATATGCCATAGAATCTCTTGGCGACAGAAATACAGATGAGTCGCTAGCATCATCCGGATTTTTGAGCAGGTTCAATCCTGCGGAGAATCGGCGCTCCGAATTGAGCAATAACTCACTAAGCCTTTGTGTTTAGTAATAATCCATTAAATACGCGAAAATTTTAGGTGATGTGTCAGGCTTGGCTTGAAAGAAATAAATGTGCCTTTGCTGAAAACTGTCGATTTGCTCATGGCGAACGAGAATTACGACCTATCACGTTAGTATTAAGCATACTGATTTACTGATAACTATATAACTGTAAAAATGATAAGCCAAATTTGCAGTGACCATATAATGAATCCAAAGTATAAAACAAAGCCTTGCGATAAATATGCCTCAGGGATATGCCCGTATGGAAATCGATGCCTTTTTATCCATCCAGATGCACCGAATGGAAATGCTTATATCCACCCTTCTCGCGTAAGCTATTATACTCATTAATACTTCTAATAAATTTATTCTAAATTTTTTGAGATTCATGTGGAAATATTTGCATTGTCAGTAATTAATTTCATTTATAATGAATAATTTATAGTTGGCTGAACGAGTACGAGAAAAAGCATTGAAGGAGTGCAATGGCAATTATGAGCCAAATAATTTGGAACAAAAAATCCAAAATGAGGTGTCGAAAAAGAAACATCCACTTTTATCTTGGCCTCTTCAAAACGTAAAACGTAAGTATCCATATGAGGGAAAAGATAAATTGAAAAATAGCGAATGGCACGCGATTACTCGCTCCTCAATTAAAGGTTTGTTCAAAAGTTGAACAGTAATTAATTAAAGCGACTTATCTAAGGTGACGCTCAATATAGGGGACTAAACTACCATTGTACATTAGAATTAGAATCAGACTCCCTCACCAGAGAGTCGATTGGTGACAGACGCTGGTGGGTGAACTCTTGCGATTTCACTTTCAGTAATAAATTTACTTCCCATGAAAACATACATTGGCGCCTATGATAGCTTGGCTTTAACCAAAGCAATATCCCATGATCGACTATCTTATATCCAAAGTTTCCGGCTTGCTAAAAAGTCGTGCACAGACTATGGCTCATTTATTCTTTATTAATCAATATTACATAAAAAATTTCTTCATATCTTTCAAGTCTTTTCACCAATAAATTACTTTTCTCTTATGCTTTTCATCAATTTTGTGATAATAATTTCTAATAATTCATCTTCACCTTTACTTACTAATTTGCATAGAAAAAGCTTTTTAGATGAATCAAGAAAAGAAAATGTTCCTGACGTCGCAGCAATCACAGCAGTGAATTCATCGGAACTAAGTAAAATTTGGGATTCAGGAAATACTTCGGATGATCAATCGTCTAAACATCGCATTTCAGCAAATAAACCGGTGTTTTCGTTTTTTCACCCATTTGAATATATTCATTATATGGATAATTACAATCGCAGAAAAGCCGCTTCATTCGATGTTTAATAATTTTTCCTTAAATATGAATTAACCATACTGAACTAATTAATATCTCACCATAATTTTAAAGGCGACAAATATTTTTATTATTAATTGATCAAATATCGCAAAGTTTCCTGGTTGGAACTCAAAATTTTATGGTAGAAATATTCTTTTTATAATTTTCGGTTGAATTTCTCCATTTAAATTCATATTTCATTATGTTTACTTTTTTTGTCTTATTTTTTATGTTTAGTAATTATGCATATATGGAAAAATAATTTTTTTCATTAGAAGAATTGTTAGAAATAATTATTTAGTTATTTTATAATACTACTACCTCTTATCATCTATCATTTTTATTTGCCAAGATTTCTTTTGATTTATCATTTGTCAATTTCTCAGTTTTTTAATTATTATTGTTAAAAAATTTTTGATATTAGTTAATTTATTAGTTAATTAACGGCATTGGAAGAACCATTGGGCTCGGCACTTGATTTCTGCGTGTTCCTGATGTCTTTTATTTTCAGTTTTTTATATTTCTTCAGTGTTATAAGTATTTTTTAATATAATTTTTAATAATAATTTTTATTGTACTTAAAGCAACGTCATTGATGTTAAAGCTCTTTTCGTGGACTTGCAAAAGTACACTTCATTGCATCCTTTTTTTTCTATTCATTTCTTTTATCCTTTCGTTATTGTTCTTATTCTTATTGCGATTACATAATTAACAGCATTTCGGCTTTTAATGAATCTAAAATTTGAATGTGTGCGGCTTCGAATTATTTTAGCTTTGCAAATATCGAGAAAAACGATAGCCAAGATTACCTTTTTCAAATTTTTTATTTATAAATTATTAAAACTACTAAATTGCCATAATAATTGCCATGTATGTATCAATGGAATGATTTTGCTCATATTTCCTACTGCAATAAATTTTTTTGTAGTAGTTGCATTTTTACTTCAGTTCTTATGAAAAATTCGCATAAAAATAGAGAGATTGTAAAACTTTCTAAGAAGAAATGCTCAACTTTATTCGCCGAAGCGAACAACTTGATTTTCCACATATTCACTAAATTATTCGATTAAATAATGATAATTTAAAATTTGAGCATTGAAAGCAAATTTTTTTAGTATCGATCGAAAGATAGTATTTATTTTTTCTTAGATTACTGTGATTATTTTTGTTTTCTCGAAATGCGCAGTATATTTCATTCAAATGTTTCGCGCTTATTCTTCGCTAGCACCAAAGAAAACAATAAAAATTATAAAATGAGGGCAGAGTGGACAGCCGTTCATTATTGAGTATTATTACGTTGACAATATCGGTAATGGCAAAGCTTCAACAAAAATTCTGGATAATGCTGGCAATTCACCTTTTATCATCTATATTACCAAGCAAGAATTTCTGACTGTACCAATAGCCAGCAGAATGAGGAAAACCAGAAATGGTGAGCGCTGACCCGTTGCCTGAAAAGTTTTCGAGAGATTTTTCGATGCAAAACAAAAATAATTTTAACTTTTAAATCTAATGTAATTTTGACGAAACTTTTCATTTTGGAAAATAAAATTTTATTGGAGGTTTTGTCTTAAAATTAAAATTATTAGCCATTAATAATAGTGTTGGTGACGATAATAACATTAATAATGGCAATTTAGTGCTAAAATTACTGGTAATCTCGTCATTTTTTGGTTCGGCTTGCTTCGCTAATTACAAATCTCTTTTGCCATAGCTGTAAAAGTGGATTCCTAGCCAGTAAATAATCTATCGAACGAGAATGATGGCATGAGGAAAAGGAAAAGGCAAAAATCAAAAGATTTTCAATTGAACTGATTCCTATTTTTGCTACTAAAAAAAATTAAAATTAGAAAATTAAAACTAAAAAAATTCAAGTTTAAATTTGAATTTTAAATTCTTTTGGATTCAATTTCCTTAAATAACTGTTAAATTTCAAGTAAATAATTAATTTAGCCATTTAATTTACTAAAAAAGTTGCAAATAAATAAATTTAAGAACCCAAAATTGAAAATTAAATAAAAAAGGAAAATATTCGTAAAAACCAAAAGTTTTTGGCAAAAGTTCCAATGAAAATCGGCGTTTTCATTCATTTTTATGAAAATTTTCATGAACGAAATTTTCAGCAGAAGGGAAAAAAAGTCTAACATCGACGAAAAATATGTAACAGAAAAAAAAATTTTCAAGGAAAATCAATTAGCAAAATGAAAAACAAACAATATTTCAATATTTTTAAATATTTCACAGCAGAAATTGAAAAAAATTTAAATTTTAAACGGCAGATTTCGAACTTTACTTTTATCGCTAAAAATATTGAATATTTATCCATGGAAGATTGACGGACTTTGGCGGTGGAAAAGTGGTTGGTTTCAGTTAATTTCAAGCCTAATGGAGGCTTAGAAGTTTCTTATTCCAACATCCAATGTGGCCAACTAAATCAAAAATGGTGCGAGAAGAAAAAACGAAAATGAGTATTCTCATGAAAACGCTTTCAATAAACCGTTCATCGATGTCATTATTTTTGATTTCATCCAAAATACATCTTTGTTATATCCAAATAAACTAATGAAAGTGATTTAGAAGCATTGAAAATTGCAGGAATTGCGTGAAAATACTGCTTGCAATTATGTCATTTTCTGATCAATTAGCTTAAATTTATTTAAAATTTGGTTTAAAAATAAAATAAATTTGAGTTGATTAATGATAAAATTGAATTCAGCTAATGCAGAAATGGAAAAAAAAACATTTTTATTTCGTGAACAACATTCCTCACTTTGTTCTTTTCTGAAGGTTATCGCTGTTTTAAAAAAACGAATCGACTTCAATTCATTAATGTTCGTGATAAATGATATTCAAAAAACCAGTTTTACAATGTTCTTACTTGTTAAAATAAAAGCAAAAATTCACTAAAGGCGTGTATTTGGAATTTCAGCGAAAATAAAAAAAGGTCTCACCGAATCGTCCGCTTTCGTTGAAATGTTCATAAGTGAACTGATTTGCCTTAATCATTCTATTCATTAACGATCCGAGCAACGGTCCGCTTCTCCATTTCTACCCTTTTCTATGAAATTTTAAAAGTGACTGGGTATATTAATGGTTCTAAATAATATTAAGTAAGCAATTAGATTCTCCTCTTTCTTCAAACAACCATTTCTGGTTTGGTTCGCTCTATTCGAAAAAATACCTTTTCAGCAGACGGTCACTTTGGTATAGAACCATAAAATAGAGCCCAAACATCGCCTGATTTTGGTTATAATCAAGCAAATGTCTTCAATCTTGCACAGCATTAATTTGTCTGGAACCTTTTTGTCAAATATCTTATCGTAGTTCCTTATTAAAAAGGTATATTCTAAGGATGACAGACTCGGATAATCCAAAGCAGCTTCTCATCGAGGCGGAAAGTATGAAGAAATTGGCATTTTGTGGCGTTGCAGTATCAACTGTCGCCACTTTGGTAGCCATTATCTGTGTACCAATGCTTTGCACTTATATGCAAAACGTCCAGTCAAGTCTACAAGATGAAATAAGCTTTTGCCGTACTCGAGCCATTGGAATCCGAGGAGAATATGCAAAAGTTAGTTTCTCACTTCATTGCAATTTCTTCATAAAATTCAGCAATTTTAGTAAATTTTTAGCATGAATTTTAGAATAATTAACTTTTTATAGCTGGAAAGTGCGCGTGCCATGTTGAAGAAAGAAAGAGAAAAGCGTCAAGCGTCCTTCGAATGTTGCAGTTGTGGTATTGGGGAAGCTGGACCAGTAGGACCGCCGGGCTTGGATGGTCCAAACGGAAAAGATGGTATTCCAGGCAAGCCTGGTCCACCTGGCCGAGATGCTGCAGAAGATGAACGAGTTAATCTTACAATACTTTGTAATTTGAATTCAAGATTGTTACAATTTAGTTCAGAAATAATAAATGTCTTGATTTTTAGCCAACTGAAAAAGACTGGTGCTTTAATTGCCCAAAAGCACCTGAAGGGCCACGAGGCAGTCCAGGTCCAAAAGGACAACGTGGTTTACCAGGAGACAGGGGGCCAAGAGGACCTAATGGAGCGCCAGGACCAATTGGACCAATGGGACCACGAGGACCGGTTGGACCACGGGGTGAACCAGGAGCAGCAGGAGAACCTGGTAACCCGGGCACTCAGCGTGAGGTAAATATGATCATAAAATTATTTTATCATTGTCATTATCATCATCATCAGTTGCGGGGTGCGAAATAATATAGAATACTGCATACTGTATAGAATACTTTATTTAAAAATACTGTATCTTAGGTGCCTGCTCCCAATGGACCACCTGGACCACCAGGACCACAGGGACCACCAGGTGAAAAGGGCCCCGATGGACGAGATGGGAACCAAGGTCGTCAAGGCCCACGTGGTCCACCTGGTCTCAACGGTGAAGATGGAGCAATGGGTCAAGATGCTCCAAACGGAGAGCAAGGTGAGGCGGGCCCGCCAGGACCAAAAGGAACTTGCGACCATTGTCCACCTCCGAGAACTGCACCCGGCTATTAAGCAGTTCAAACCCACTCTTTATAAATGTAAAAAATCCGAATCGATCAGCGCAAATCCAACGGAACTTTACAATTTCGCATTCGTTTATTCGTTGATTCGTTTATTCACCTGGATGACTTATAATAAAACAATAAAAATTGCATAAAACTTGTTCCGTGTTGCTTTTTTTAAAAATTCTTTTCTTATGAATTTAGAATAAAACGTAAAACTTTAAACTTCTTCAAAAATTTCTGATAAATTGAAAAAAAAAATGAAAAATCAGCAATCGAAATCATCCGATGAGTCGCTTATCGCATTCTGATGAATGTTGTTAAATGACGATTTTGCCAAATTTCTGAAATATTTTCCGTTGCGTTCAAACGATCTGAGCGAGGCAAATACTGCGACATTCCGTGAAGCACTAACTTTTAGCGACTCGCAGCGCTACTCGTTGGGCTCGTTCCGCTGCTTAACGTAACGCGAAGTGTTTCTTTACTAACTGCAAATTTTTTGCAAGAATTTTATTTGAGCAGAATAATTTTGGTTATCATAAGATAACGTTTGACGATATCGAAACGATTACTTGGAAAGAAGCGAATAAATAAAAATTTTCAACAATTAAACAGATTATGACTTAGGAAAGAAATTTGAATTTAAATTAAATTTACTTAAACTATTCCAAGAGATTTTGAAAGTTCGAGTGAAAAATTCTATTTAAACTATTAATTAATCAAATATAATTTGGATAGAAAAGCAGAGTGGCATTAAGTGAGAAAGTGAGAAGCAAGGATTTGGACTCCGCTGCCGACAGAAGTGGACCTACCGTGGAGTGAAAAAATCCAGGTGGCGTTCACAAATCAGCCGTACTGCTGTCGCCGAGTGGCCACTCGACCGCGGAAATTCCTAATCGCCGGCAGACTTAGCCTTAAAATGCCAGCCACTCCATCAAAGTATAAATAATGAACTCAGAACTCAACGAACTCAATGAACTCAATAAATGAACCAAATGAACCATAAGATGAATGTATCGAATCACCTAATTCTATAAACTAATTCCACTGTCTCAATCTAGAGGATGGCAATTGCTCATCTGACATTTGCGCAAATGAATTTACCTCGTACAGAGATGTTGTAATACAGTACGCAGTGCACCAACGCACATGCTGTAAGTCTTCAACGGTCATGCTAACCAACTAGCACTCTTCGGCCGCAATAATTCTCAGTTTCGCGGCCCCCTACTTGGTTTTGCGAATTGTTGATGCATTTATCGCAAATTTGTTTTCATGTGAGAATTGGTTTTTTTTCTGCATTGAGTGATAAGCTTATCATTTCCTGGGGCTCCGCCCACGGTGGTTAAACCCACTTGTACTTATTTTATCGGAATTATTTTAAATTCAAAGGTGGATAGTAAATTTTTAATTCAATTGATAATATTGGATTTTTAAATGAATTTTTCATCATGTCCAGTGGCAGTGAATCGATGTTTTTTCCTCGAAAATCCACTTCAACATTACGTTTGTTTTTTTCAACTTTTGTATAAATATTTGTTGGTCAATTGAAAGAAATTTTTTACGTGAATTCTCACGTAAATCTAATAACATTGGTAGCACTTAAAATTATTAGTAGAATTCGAATTCGAAGGGTTTTCAATAAAACATTGCTTTCATGGTACCTATCCAGTATTAGGATATACCTGGGTGTACTCCCTAAGTAGACTGTTTATATTCTATTCCATCGCTGATGTATTTTTGTCCTTCTAACAGCACTCACCATCACTGGTTAGGCTGACTGCTTTGGCTACAGTGGTAAGACGTCTTCAAGCTGCGTGATCTGATATATTCAAAATCTTTCTTGTCTGTGTCAGTCCAGGTCTTGATTGGACCTCGCTTTTGACACCATCCATCATAGAGTTTAGCAAGTAACGAAATAGGTATTAACTGCTGTGGTGAATAACGTGACCTAAACAGCGAAGACGACAGTGATGGTGTCATTAATGCAAATGACATTTAAATAAAGGTGAGCGCAATCATGTGAGTTTTTATCAGTGGATCCGTAAAATCATCTTAGATCATGATTGGTCAAAAAAAGACAACTTTTTAATATTCTTCACTCACACCGACCATATAGAAAGGTTGAGCGAATCGCGATTCTATAGACGCGGACTTTAATTCGTAATGAGTCCATAAAGATTTGGTCAACCGAAAGAAAGCATTTCTAGCTACCGTTATCTGCGGTGTAATTTTTTCTTTCTCTGAATGGATATCCCGAGATATTTAAAGCTTTTTCAATCAACAATGAATTGATAAAAAATGGATATTTTATCAGCGTTTTAAGCCAACAAGGCTTTTATTTATTAAGGCTTATATTGAACTAATAATCATAAACCTGAAAAGAAAGTCCTGTTTCTGATTCTCACTGCAGTTGTTGATGCATTATTTAACATTATGTGCATTTTGTCGTAACAACTAGCAAAAAGGACTAAATCATCAGCATATTCAAGATCTGCGATGTTATACTCTGTACTGATTTTCACCACTTGAATGCCGACAAACGATGTTTATGCCACATATTATAAGGGAAAGGACATAGTTGGATATAGGGCAGCCTTTACGGATATCAATTCTTACTTCGAAATGATCAGTTCCTCGGTCAGTTCCTCTTTAGCAATATACATAAATGCCTTTATGAATTGAGTGATCTTCTCTAGAATAGCTTCCATTCCATCTCACTCTGCAAAGCACTGCTGTTATCAGTTGAATTAAAAATAAAATGAAAGAAGTGAGCAAGTGAGTTGCGCTATTTGAAGCAATTCAACACCTTTCTTAGCGTGAATATCTGGTCAGCATAACCGCATCAAATTCAGCTTGGTTAGGGCGCATGTTACTGCCATATATCTATTCAGCTGGAGAGAAGGAAAAATTTTCCCAGAGATCTATCTAGTAGGCAGATTCCTCGATAATTTTTTTTTGATTCAACTGATTCAACTGATAATAGTCTTCTTATCTTTCTTAAAAACTAAAAATAGAATTGCTTTACTTTGTTCCAGTCTTCGTGGGTAGGATGTCTATTGGGTTATTGCTCAGTTTTGAACGCCGATGCTGAGGTTCTATTCTCCGCAGAAATAAATCTATCCAAAAATCCAGGTGATGCGACTCATCTGTGCTTCGCCAAGAGACTCCTTGGCATATTTGTCCAGTGCGACTGGACAGCGGAGTGAGTTTAACCAGTAATGGTGAGGATTCTTAAAAAAAACTTATCTGGTATTATTTCATTCTTTCATATCTGAGAATATATTCATTGAAGGTGTATTATGAAAGACGATGAACAACATTTGAAGAGTTCATCTCGTAGACTATCTCCGGGAGTTTTATTGTGAGACAGAAATCATTTCTTGTTCTGCTAGCGATTCGCAGTTACAAATATAGCTCAAGCGATTCAACTATGTCTGGGCGATTCAACAAAAGATGGGCGTATCGTGATTAAGATTGACCTCAAAGAATTCCTTCCATCCTATGACGCGATCCTTGATAGTTTTAGTTTTAATAGGCACACCACCATCCCGTATCATTTCACTGACCGTGTTATAGTTGTATTATGAAGAACGAGGAACAATTCCTTATTATCGCCTAATCGAGCCATTGTCTCTATTATCGCATCAATAGCGATTTCTGTTCCGCTTTTCTTCCTAAGCTGTCATTATAATTTTTCGAATCATCTAGTAGTCAGAATCTCCTGCTTTGGCAGCGCAGTTGGCCAGTTACTTCCGATACCCAATTAATACACTTCCTACTAATATACCCTAGCGTGGAAGTGGCTGATTTTCAGAGGCATTCCTTTGGTGGTATTCATTTGCAGTTCCAAAAAAATCATTGATATTTATTTCATGCTTCGATACTTCGATATCCATGATTCGGTTTGAAATGCTCTCACTGTCCACTGAATTAGTTTGAGATAGTTAAAAGGGAGATATTGTTGCCAGTTTTACACGAATCTTGGCTTGAAACGTAATGACTCGTGAAGGTTATCTCCGTGTTCCGATAAGAATAGCTAGAACGGAACTCTTCCAATAGTGATTGGCCGAAATATAATCAATCTGGTCGGGATGTTAGTTATCCGGGGAGTTCCACGTGATTAGATCTTCTACGATGCCAGAAACATGTATTAGTAATAAAAGTGCATTATGTTCGGCAAAGTGGAGGTTTTTCCATTGGCTCACCAGTCTTCGATGCCCTTTTTGCCAATTACCTAGTTAATCACAACGGCATTATAGCTTATAACCTATTCCACTGCGCATTCCAGTCTTCTCCGATTATGATTGTCTTCGGTAGAAATGTTATTAGCAAATGAAGTTCTGTCTAGAACTTCTAGAACTTATCTTTATCCGATCATATGATGCATATAATGTTGAAGTCTGATGATTGAAATATTTCCAAAATTTTCCTTTACAGGCCATATGGTTGTTCACCGACTTACACTCAGTCAGAGAGGAACGAGCTTTTTCACATATATAATCGCTACATTATTTCATCTCGAATTATCCGAAACACCACAGCGACATAGTCCCTGCTGGGAGCCACTTTTAGTAATAGTACGTGACCTGAGGAGACTGTTCCTCTGATAAGCATGCAAAACCTATTTAGAAAGAGTGTAGACAGTGTGATTTCTTGGCTTGCAGTGTCCATAAGCGCCCTAATGTTCCACGCTGTTACGTTTAACACCTCACTACACGTGCAGAGAACCGTCTTCCTTGACAGGTTTCGAGCAATTATCATGGCTCACAAACATCATGTTCTGAAGGCTTGAGGTCATTTAACTACGCTCCCATTGTATATTTTTCGTATGTACCACAGGGCTGGAAGTATCATGGACATGGGAGGAAGCGGACGCCTGTCAAGAAGACTTAACCCTTTCACCACAGAGTCGCTTGGGATATAGTTGCAGGTATGTCCACTGCAATTTTCGATATCACACATTCGCAATCGCTATTGCAATCGCTACATCATTTCGCATGACAGGTTTACTCTTGTCAAAGGCAGAGATAAAGAATTAAGGGAAAAAAAGTTAAGAAAGTGTGGAAAACAAATAGAAAATAAGATGGAAAACAAGCTTTGAAAAGAAAACTTATCCTTATTGTTGGATTGGATTGCCCAAAACCTTTAGAAGTTTCGCGAAAAAAAATGGTATAGGAATAGGAAATAGTAGTAACAATGGGCACCTATTGATTGGTTTGAGCAAAATGGCTCGTCAAGCCGCTCATAATCAATCAATAACGATGAAGCCAGGTATTTACCTATCATTGATTTGTTCAATGAATCGGCTATGCTACGGTGAAAATATTTCAGTAAATGAGTTGGGTTTACCCAGTGATATTTTTTTTCAAATTTTTTTCATTTATTAATTTATTTGTTAATGAAAAAGGTCATTTAGATTTAGAAGAAAATGGAGAAAGAAATCTCCGGCGATGTCTGAGCGATCCATCATGGAATTTAAAAGATATTCTCTTGGATGTTACCAAATTTTCAATCGCGGATCTTATTGCTTCTATTTTACGTTTAGATTTCTGGGATCCAAAAAATACTGATTCCATGTTTGTTCACTTTTCAAATTTCGAATTTTTTATTTTTCTTTTTATTTTTCAATTTATTTAATTTTAAATTTAAAATGTAATTAAATATTAAAATGCAATTAAATAATTATTCAAAATTTATATTTATCCTATAATAAGCTTGTGTTTATATAGGAATTTATTGCAAAAAAATTTTGAAAATTATTTATAAAATTATCAGTTAGGCGAAAATGCAGAAAGAAAGAAAAAAAAGGATCGCGCAAATTTGCACTACTATCTCACCGCATCAGCTGTCTTATTAATTCAAAATTTTCAGAGAATTTTGCAAAACAACCTTGGAAATTTTCTTGAAATCATTAGCATTGCCTCCTGGAACGAATAATTCAATCCGTCATCATCTTCAGGTATTTTTATCGTTTTATTGTTATATTATACATGTTACATACCTCGATTTGAATTTTGCAATTTATCCATTCTTTTTTGCTTGAGAAGAATTTCTGATTAATTAATTTCTGAATTTTCAGCGAGAATGATCGTAATGTGTTAATTTAAATTAAATTGAATTGAATTTTTAAATTGAAATTAAAGGGTGATGGTGCTAGTGACGATATTGCATCATTCGTAACAATCATCAAAAAGGATAAATATTTATTAGCAAATGGTATGGTTGAATTGCTCATCTCAATACTTCTGATTCTTGTCACTGATGGTTTGTTCATTTATTTTTTTTCAGTAGCAATCCAGTCAGCTTATTTAAAATATTCGAAACATCCCATTTTCATCATTTTGTACAATCCATTTCATCCTTACTAGTTAAATGTTGGTTATAGTTTAATATTTTGTACGGAAAAATTCGATGAAGCTAGGGACCTAACTATACTTTTATCTCCAGGTACTTTAGGAACTTTGAAAGGAACTCCTTTAGCAGTATTCAATAGAGCCAAAACCAAAAATGGGCGACGTCAGAAGAAGATGAAAAAACGTCGATCAATCTAATTTACAGTATAGATGATTTTCGATTACATGGGTTAAGTGTAGAGGGTCACATTCTTTCATTTGTATAATTTCATCTCATTTTATAAGTAGGGATCATTGCCATCTATATGACCAAAGACCGAAAAGTATACCTTATCTTGCTCATATTTCACTTTTTAATATGTCAACTCAGTTGCCAAACAATTAGAAAACTCTAGAAAAGTAGAATTTTCCATAATTGTACCTAATATATTTTTAGGTAAATATGATTGCCGTTATCGAGTTCTTTTGAGACATTTATGTGCTTTATTGGGTGCTGATTGGGATAATTTTGAAAATGTTAGTTCTTTGAGACTGCTCAAGTATCTTTCATAAAATATTTTGTTGATAATCGTAGCTCAAAAGATTTTTCAGAAAGTTTAATTCTTTTAGGCTGAAGATGCTTTGGCAGATTTTCTTATGGAAATTAAATCAAATTATGCTGAAACTGAGTGCGTTTTTTGATTATATCATTTGTATCATTTTTTATATCATTTGTCATTCACTATATAAAAAATTAAATCAAATTGTGTTGAGTACGTAAAAAATTGTTGGAAAAACTCCAATTTAAATCAGTTTTAACTTTATTTAAGTTAATTCCAACGACCTCCATTAATTCTCCATTTTTTTTATATTTCAAGTTTTTTAAAAGTTGTTTTCTATTTTTATAAATATATGTTTTATTAAATTAAATCATTTTTACAGCAGTTCTGGTTCGCTTAGGTAAATTTATTTTTAATTAACTGTACGTTGTTTTGTGCTTGTTTTTTTGCTGTTTTTTCTAGACTTATTTTGCCTACGATTTTTAAGTTATTGTCATTGAGCCTTTACTAATTTTTTGAATGCAAAATTTATAGATTTGTATTCTTCTTCTTCAAACAGCTCTAACTATTACTGGTTAGGCTGGCTCCGCTGCCTACAGGGATAAGACGTCTCCAAGCTTCTCGGTAATTGCTAACAGTAATAGAAACCATTCCTTTTTCCATCGTCTAAGTCCATATATCGCTGGTCTTCCTATACTTTTAAAGTCTTTCCTGACTGTTTCAGTCCAGGCCTTGATTAGTCGTCCTCGCTTTTTGACGCCAACCATCACAGGATTCGGCAAGTAGTGAAATATGCGTCAACTCCTGTGGTAGACAACGGAGAAAGAATTAACCAGCGAAGGCGACACTCTGTGATAATATTATTAATACAAGTGGTATTTAAGCGAAAATAAGTACAATCATGTGTGATTTTATCCGTTCGACGGATCCGTAGAATATCATAGATAGAGTGGTCAAAAGGCTAATAGCATTTAATATCTTCCACTATCATTGGCTATTTTTCGCAGTCATTTAGCATTCAGATTGAGTGAATTGCAGCTATATGGACGCGGATTTTCGCCTTTATTATGATTACGTGATAGTTCCATAAAAGTTTCATCAATCCCAATAGCATATTTCTAGGTGTCGTTATCCGAGTTACAATTTCATCCTTTGGCTGGCCATTTGGGATTAGAGTGGATCCAAGGTATTCAAAGTAAAGCAGCAAAAAGGACTTAAAATAAAGGACCTTTTGAGTGCTGGCAATGCCCATTATCCAATCTATCGCATATTGTAGGGGAAAGAACGCAGCCTTGACAAACACCAGTTTTTATTTATTCACTATAGTCTGTCAGTTCCCCATATACATAGACTTCCGCCAGGGTATGCTGATAAAATGCCTTTATGAGACAAATGATGATTTTCTCTGGGACACCATTACATTCCATCGCTTTCCAGAGCTATCAAGCGTTAAGCATTGTAGATTTGTATTGAAAATTAGTTATTTATCGTGGTTTATTTTAATTTTATTGTTTTTTGGTAATATTTTTTCTTTTTTAGAGCATCAAAATGTGCTCGAGAAAAGACAAGTCGATCAAAGAAGATTAAAAGATATGTATTAATTGGGGTTGCAAGTGGTGTTGGTGGTATTCTTGTTGGTAACATTTTCTTTCTTTCATTTTTTCTTTTTTCAACATTTTCGATTTAAGATGTACTTTTGGTCATCTGTTCCTTAGTAGTGTGTTTGTTTCCATCCTTTTTTTTGGTTTTTCTTGTTTTTATTTTTCTAACTTTTCTTCTGTATTGTTTTCCATCATGCGGTCCAGATTCCTTTAAAAATTAAAAGATATGTATTAATTGGGATATATATTAAAAATATGTATTTCATATATTTATTAATATATATTTCAAAATTAAAAAGCGGCTGGAACAGATATAATGAAAATATTGCCATTACTATAAAATTCTAAATTCCTCATTTAAATCATTCTTTTTTTTAAAATTTTTAGTCTGTTGAAATCTCGTTCTAATTTTGTATTCTTTCTATTCTCCATCATTTTAGTATTGCGAAATACTGTGGTTCTGAACTGTAACTGTAACTAAAAATACGTTAATTTTTTATTTTTTTAATACCGAACTTTTTTTTCAGAAATTTCTAGGTTTTCTAGATTTTAGATTTAGATATATATGTTTAATTCAGGTCTGACAGGGGGTTTGGCTGCACCGCTCGTTGCTACTGGTGCCGGTGTAATTATAGGCGCGGGTGCTGCTTCAGGAATTGCAACTAATGTCGGAATTGCTGTGCTTGCATCTATTTTTGGTGCAACTGGTGCGGGACTAGCTGGTGAATTTTGCTGTCAGAAGAAAATATTTATTCTTATGAATAATATAAACAATATATTTGTTTATTTCTGATTTTTGAATGATAAAAATATCATTTTAAGGTTATAAAATGAACAAGCGTGTTGGAGCTATTGATGAATTTGTCATCGAATCTTTGACAGAAGGTAGCAGTCTCCATTGCGTTTTGACAGTCAGTGGATGGATAGAAGATGTATATCAGCATTTTTTCTCATCTTTCAGTATATTAATTTTATTCATACTTTGAAAATTGAATCCAGTTTTTTTTTGCTTCATAAATTTTTATGAAGCTTTTATGTGGTTTCTTTATTTTATTAACGTATAAATAATTCAGGATAGCAAGAATGCTTTTCGAAAACAGTGGCGCCATTTATGGATGTCTCGTGAGCAATTCACTTTGCGCTATGAAAGCAAATATCTCATAGAACTTGGAAAAGCCATTGAATATTTAATGTCATTTGCTGTTTCCGTCGCCATACAGCAAACTCTTATGGAAACTGCGTTAGCTGGTTGTTATTTTGTATTTTAATATATCTCTTGTTTATTCTGTTCAGTGATAGAATGATTATAATTCAGTTTGATGCTTCAATCCAAAAAATTAAGAATTAAAAATTAAAATTTTATATTAAAATTTTTTTATAGGCTTCGTAAATTATCATTTTATTATTGATCTATGGACTCATTTCAGGTCTAATGTCAGCAATTGCTTGGCCGATTGCAGTTCTTTCAGCAGCAAATGTCCTAGATAATCCATGGAATGTTTGTGTTAGTCGGGCTGCTGAGGTAACTTTGTTGCATTTTAATAATACTTTTGTACAGAAGTGATTTAGGTCGGAGATTTCCTAGCTGAAATACTACTTCGACGTGCTCACGGGAAATATCCAATCACTTTAATAGGTTTCTCTCTCGGTGCTCGCGTAATTTACCATTGTCTTCTTACAATGAGCCAAAGGGCTGATTATGCAGGTATTTTTTGGAAAACCATTTTATTATTGTAGTTTTATAGTTTTTAGTTTTTTCTTTATAGTTTTTTCTTATTTATTTGCGATCACAAATTACAATATATTATTATATCGATTTATATTTAGGCATTATTGAAGATGTTGTGCTTCTTGGAGCTCCAGTTTCAGCTTCTTCTAGACAATGGCATCAAATGTGCCGTGTTGTTGGGGGTCGGATCATAAACGGATATTCCACATCTGATTGGCTTCTCAGGTACGTCAAAAAA